ATTCTTACGTGGTTTCTCCTTATGTTATTATTTTATACTCGTCAATAATTTCATATTTTACTGATTACTACAGGTGTTCAATAATAATAGAAAGAGTAACCAGGTCAACATAAACCCGTTAGACAAAATAATTTCTTGTTTGACTTGTATTTCTGGACCTTGACCCAGGAGTGAAACGTAAAGTGCCTGTTCGGGTCATTTTCTTATTTGCTTGCATTTGTCATTCGCTGCGTAACTGTGGGAGTTGAAATTTATGACGATCTTGCTTGGTTTTACTCTAGACAATTGTAACTCATGCTTTACCCTCTAGTTCATGAAAACTGTATGTGGCCTTCACGGAAAACTGTTGTTTTGCTATTTAAGGAAAGAACATCACAAAAAAAGTTGTCTTTTCTCTTGATTTTGTCAACATATATTTTTGCATTCTTCATATCATATAATGTTCTTCAAGCCCAAGGGTGGCTTAAATAAAATGTAGCATTCCTCAAGTGTTGGTAATTTTATCAAGGTTTGCTCACTCAGAAGTGGGTAAATATAATAGTCTCTTCTGAAAGGTTAGCAATTTGGTTTAGGCGTAATCTCCTAACAAGTTTGTTCCAATGGGTAGCTGAAGTAGTGATTTGGACTTTTTCAAATGCAGTTATTTTATCATCCTTGTAGTTTTGCTAATATGCTGTGGACACGACAATGAGGAGATTAGAAGAGATCTTGTTACTATTATTTTTTTTTTATTTTTTTTATTTGAGACAAACAAGATCTTGTTACTGTTATTATTTGAAGTCTTAGGATTTATTTTAACATGGATAAGATTTTATTGCTATTACTTATAATTCTTGTGCTACTTTAATTATATAGAGATTTTATAATAAGGTTCTTCCTTAGGAAAAAATAATTAATGCGATAAAGCTCGTAGAGTAATGAGAGGTTGTTTTGATTTAGATACACTAGAAATATTTAAATCCTGTGTGTTTTAAACCACAAAATCTTCTTTACTTTTTCATAGAAAAAGCTACCAACATTGTTTTTTGGGATTCCAAGATCTCCTAGTGGATTCTAGGATATAAGTTGAACATAGAGACAATATTAAGCAACTTTTCATAAGTTTAAATGAGATTAAGTATTAATAATGCTTCTTTGCTTCATTATTTCAAACAAAAAAAAAAAGAATTGTCATTAACAGTTATGCTAAGTATTGTTGCATTGTACTTTGACAATACTAAGCAACCTTTGGTCAGGAGTGTCCTCACAATTGTATTAAGAGGATTTTCCATTAAAAGAAAAAAACATTGCGATGAGAGGAAAAAGTGCTTCCTCTCTTACCTAGCTGGTCTTGTAGTCTGGCAATTTGTATAATGAAAGAATTATCTTGTACTGGGTGGTACTAAATGCCTTAAATATTAAAATTACATAAATAAGTATATGCTCATATAGAGGTTGGAAATGCTTAACCTTGTAAAATAAATTGTTTTACAACTTGTCACTTTATTGCCACCGGGGAGCTGAGGGTGGGATGTCCTTTATTGAAAAGAGTCTCATCCTTTGGGAACCAGAAGAAGCTATATTAGCTGATGAAAAATTATCAGCAGGTAATTAACCAAGGGACTTTTGTGTACTGCTGGTAGGGAAACCATTTTGGCGGCTATTATGTGGGCCTTGCTGCATGCACCTTCCTGCTGTTGGAGCACCCTCTCTTTCACTGTCAAATTAGTATACTGAGCTATCTAATATTTGATCAAATCCAGACTACCTAGCTCGGGAAAGTTTGTGACCAAGTGTCTAAAAACATTAAGCAGTATGCTAGAGAAGATGATCAGTTCATGAACTTATGTTGTGCTTTTTTGTTTTATGTATATATTATGGCTTGAGTGGACAGAAGTGTAATGCCCAAGACCAAGCATTACTAGCCTAATAACCTTTTGGACCAAAGCAGTAGTTTTCAAAAGTTTAAATTAAGATTATTGGTAGTCTATGACTTGAGCTCTTATATGGAGTTTAATATCACGTATCTTTTTAATGTTGAATTGGAGTATCGCAATCTTCCCCATCCAAATTATTGATGTATTCATTAAGACCGCACATCATATTATTAAAAAAGAAATGAAAAGAAGACCACACATCCTACACTTTCAAATCACAATTGACAAAAAAGATATCACTTAGTAGCATAAGATAGAGTGAAACCACCATTGGAGAGGGGTGGTTTCAGTTTGCAATATTTGACAGTGTTAAATAGAACCCTGAAGGGAAATGGCTGCGGAGGTTTGTGATGGATCAAGGAGGCTCTTGGAGGAAAATTATTTTGGTGAAGCATGGGTTGGATGGTTATGGCTGCTATTTTAAAATTCTTGAAGATCCAAATGAGTTGGGCCTGTGGAAGAGAATCTGCATGGAGAGAGGAGTGTTCCACAAGTGCATGAGTTGGAGAGCAGGTTTGGGGCTAGAGTGAGTTTTTGGAGAGATGAATAGATGGAGAGGGGTGTTCTATGCCATCAATTCCTGAATATTTTTGCTGTTGCCCTAGATAGAGATATCACTGTAAAAGATTATATGCCAGGGTAAGGAGATCATGAGGGTTGGTAGATAGGCCTAAAGAGAAATTTAAATGACTGGGTGGTTTCAGAGTATATGAATTTATTGGAGATGTTTTCATTATTTAGAAAGGATTAGTTTGAGATAGGCTGCATTGAAATTAAATCCATCTGGTGTTTTCTTGGTGACATCTTATTATGATTATATTAATGAGGAGTTGGAGGAGGTAAATTTTTCTACTAGGCTGATTTGGAAAGCGAAAGCTACTCCGAGAATTGATCTCTTCGCATTGGAGATTATCCGGGAGTGCATTCTAACTCTGGATAATCTAATTGAAAGGGAGAAGGTTTTTGTAAATGGATGTTATTATGCAAGAGTGGAGTAAAGTCTAGTAATCGTATTCTCTTATGGTGCCCATTTGCTCAAAGATTGTGGAGTTTGGCTATGGTCTTTTGATATTGGACCTGGTTCTGCAAAAGAGGAGTTTTTCTTTTCCTTTTTTGAAATACATTATGCGAAAAAGGAGTTATGTGCTTAGACTGGTATTCTTGGGATGGGAGAGTGATGCAACTTCGGCCAAGCTGCTTTCTAGGTGAGTTGGAAAGAGAGGAATAGAAGGGGGTTCAAGGGCATTGAATCCAACTTTGTTCTATACTCTGATTTTTTGTTAAGGGGTTTTCCACTGTATGCTAGCAAGGATTTTGGGGATCTTATAGATATTTTGATTGATTTGTAAATAATGCATATGATCTCTTTGGTATTAGTAACTATATACTTTTTATTTTTTTAAAAAAATCTAAAGTCCCACAAAGTCCAAAATCATACCAGTTGGAGTCATTGAAGTGCCACGTACTCTCGTACCATTTGTAATACCTTGGTTCAAGTAATACTAGGTCAACAACTTTTTGGACTTAAACTATTGTCCTTTAAAGGTTTAAGCTCAAATTATTGGCAATGTATGAGCTAAGTTCTTATATAGAACTTAAATAATCGCATATTTTTTTTTATGTTAGAGTGAGTTATAACAATCTTTACTACTCAAATCATTAATGTCCTCATTAAAACCATACATCATTACCATACTGGTATCTGTTATGATACCATTTACAATGACCTAGGACCAAGCATTATTAACCCAATAATTTTCGAACCTAAAATATTTATCTTAAAAAATTTAAATTCAAATTATTGGTAATGCAGGACTTGAGCTCTTATATGTATCTTAATAATCATCTCTCTTTCCAATATTGGATTGAGTTATCACAATAGAAGTATATAGTAAGTCTACACTTCCAAATACATTCTATAGTGTGATGCGATATAAGTATAAATTCTCCGCCGAGGGTCTAAAATATGGAAGAACGAGAATGTTTTGAATCTTAGATGGCTTTACAACTTCTCGATTTTAATATCTAGAAGATATTTTTGTCATTCAATTGATTATCAATCCCTTCATAGGATAGGTATTGTAAATTAGATTGTTGTCTGCTTACTATTTCCAACACTTTGTTTTATTTTTATTTTTTTGAAATAAGCTATTTCCAACGGTTAGTGTATTGGAGTGTTGTAGTTTTAATTTTTTCCCTTAAGATCGATAAGAACTGCTCTAGGAGGAATCAGGAAGTGGATAGAAACAGACTAAATTTGTCAGCTTGCAGTGCATTTTTTCTGTTAAATTTTTCTGTGTTTCTTCAGGTAACCAATTTTTTGTTACCTGTTATTAGTATAGAATTCTGTATTCACTGAATTGCTGTCTGCAATGAAAGGATATCTTTCGAAAATTTATTGACAAGTTTGTCATCTTGTCTTGTCTTCCCCTTGTATGCAGTCTGACTGTTAGTGTTTTATGCAGATGGATAATTGACCCACCTTTGGAGATCACAGTCCCGGCAAAGCGCACCCCGTGGCCTGATACGCCTCCTGAACTGCCATCTAACATAAAAGCATCGAGTGGCATCCAAGAACACACCCAAGAGCGTAATGTTAAGCATCCTACCAAGACTCGAACATCCAGATCAAAACGCCGGAGTAAGAGAAAGCACGAAGCAAGAACAGCAGACGCCCAGGTTTCTGTGAAGCGTTCCGAAGAAAACTGAGATGTACATGCGGCAGCATCATCCAAGAAATACACATCAGTGAATCTGAAACCACCGATATTCAGCAACAAGAGGATTCAAATAGGAAAGGTGAAATGCAGAGATACCAGGTAGCTTTCGAACGGTGGGTACATATTTCGTAGGGCACCTCACAGAGTGGACAAAAATTGATACGCACCCTCAGTTCGAGTTCCTCTTAATTTCACATTTTCCATTTTCTCCCCTCGCCATATTTTTTTTTTCTTTCTTTGTTGTGGTTATTGATATTCTGTGGTTGTGGAGAAGGCATGTCAATTAGGTCTGGGCTGCATCCTGTTGCACTCGTTGCTTTGCAGGGAGTTGTATCTGACATGCTTCAAAATTTATACATGAAATATCTTCTAATAGGGAATTATATAGCTGTGTTGACTCAGGATCATTCGGCAGAAATACATAAGCAGGGCAATAAAACTTTCATTCCTTTTAGAACAATGGTTGTTCTTGACAGTACTACACGATCACCATGAAAGTAGCAGGGAACATACATGGTGAGTGTATATATATATATATATATATGTATGTATGTATTGTAAATAAAAGCTAGTGTAGGAGTTCCTACAAGTTTGCATTCTATCCCTATAAATGATATACTAAATTTTGAGAAATTTAAATCGATATATATATATATAATTTAAAATCATTATTTAAAGAAGAATTCATTTTCCCCCCCTGTGCAAGCAAACGTCATGCCACGACACAAAATGCATATTTTATTAATTAAAAAGGTTATAAAAATATCTCTAAAGTAATTAAAAATAATATTATTATATATCGAAATCTACGTTAATTAAAAAAAGCGGAAGGCTGGCAAATGCAAATTGGACGGAGCGTGCTAACGCCATCCACGTGAAGAGTGTAAGAACCTCGGTAAAGCACCAGTCGGAAATCAACGTCCTGACGACGGCATCAATCAATGCGTGCATAAAATTCTGGTCCAACCATTTCCCTTATTTTTACAATAAGATCATATAATAACATGTAATCAAATAATTCGTTATTAACCGGTGATATGTTTGTTTTTTAAAATTATAATAATTAACATTAACTTATTTTATAACGTATTAATAATTATAATTATGAATAATAAATTTATATCTTCATGTATATATATATATGTATGTAGGGTTTGCATGCGCTTTCAAGTTAGCACACGTAAAGCCGATGACAATACCATGTGTATACAGTTTTTTTGGGTGATGTATGAATTCACGAACATGAACAACTACCATCTTATACATTATTATACGAAACATACGTTACATATATTACGAAGAAAAATATTACCATAAGTTTAAACATATATGTAATTAAAAAAACATTTAAAATACCAATTCACTTATACGTGTGTGTATATATATATATATATATATATTGTGTTTTATAATTTAAATTAAGGGTTTTTGCCGAATGGGGAAATCAGCAACGTGGTGGTGGCGGCGGCGGTCGCTTTTAAAGAATTCTGTAGTCGGCTGCACATGGCAGACTGTATGATGCCATTGCACGCACTTCAAGTCTCAGTTTCCAGCAGCAGCCACTAATTAATTACCTTCGAAAGTTCTAGGTGATTTCTCTCTTTTATTTATTTTTTAGTTAATTATTTAATTTTTTTTACACAACTAAACTCATTTTTTTATTTAATATTAAAAAATAAATTTATTATGATTTAATATAAAAAATAAAATTTAAATTTAAAGATAAAATAAAAATTAATAAAGATAAAATAAGAATAAAAATATTTAATAATTAAAAATTACTGAATCGGTAGTTTGAGCAATCGAATACAATATTATGATGTCCAAAAGTTCTTACGAAGACCGGAACTCCCACGATTTTTGTGGGTTTAAGTAGAGAGATAGGATGATATTGTTGTATGTATATTTAATAATTAAATAGATTTTCTAAATCCATATTTTCGGAAAAAAAACAACATATGAAATACATACATTTGATCTTCTTGGGTGTGTGTGTGTATATATATATATATTATAGGTATGTATGTGTATAGAGAGGATAATATATTGCATCTGGTCAAGATTGAGGGATGAATTCAACTTTAGAATAAAAAATCGATGGAATAATATTTCATTCAATTTTAATTTAATTATGATAAATTTTATGGTGGAGGTACTAATGTATTATCATATAGTATAATTTTAATATTATACTATATGATAAATTTTAATATTAATATATAGATTTATATCGTAGAAAAATCTATATATTAATATTATTTGTAGCACATTTATATATATTTAACGATAATATAGTTTACCATGAAAATTAAATAATGTATGTAACGGAAAAAAAAATTAAATAATAATATTTAATATTACATATTTTTAAATAAAAATTTTTTTTTTTTCTGCAAAATATTTTAAATTATTTTTAATGATTTGCTTTTCGCGTTTTGCCTATATAAACCCGCTAACCTTCCCCCTTTCTCTCCACCAAACTGCCAGTCCACAGCTCCCTTCTTCTCAAAGAAACCTCGCTAAGCGGCCATGGCAGTCTCCATCGTGATCACCTTATTCCTCTCCCTCTTTTTCACCTCATCTCTAGCCACAGACATGTCCATCCTCACTTACAACCACCAACACCACGATCATCATCATCATGATCAACACTCATCCAACTGGAGAGCCGACGATGAGGTGATGAGCATCTACTTATCCTGGGCCGCGAAGCAAGGAAAAGCACAAAACGACTTAGGGGAGCAAGAGAAGAGGTTTGGGATCTTCAAAGACAATTTAAAGTTTATCGACGAGCACAACTCTCGAAACGCTACGTACAAGCTCGGCCTGACGAAGTTCGCGGATTTGACCAACGAAGAGTACCGGGCCCGGTTTCTAGGCACCGTATCGGACGCCAAGCGCAGAGTCATGAAGGCGAAATCGGCTAGCCGGAGGTACGCTTTCAGTGTCGGCGACGAGTTGCCGGAGAGTGTGGACTGGAGAGAGAAAGGTGCTGTTGCGCCGATCAAAGATCAAGGCAACTGCGGTATGTTTATATCTCTCTTCTTTTTCAACAAATTTATCGGTTAGTAAAGAAGTTCAGTATTTTGATTTGTTAATTTTGAAGGACGCTTGGTAGGATCATCGAGAAATAATTTGATTTACACTTTAGCGGGTCTTTTTTCAAAATTTTGTTAATGGGGTATTTGTATATATATTAGCAGAGTACGACTCAGTTGCGCCTTCCCAGTTTATGGGCTCTTCTAGCCCAATCTACTTTGGGCCCTTTGGTAGATTTTTAGGACTTTCCTTAGTGATTACTCACAATTAATGTATTGGTTTAAACGATGAACAGGAAGTTGCTGGGCGTTTTCAACAATAGCGGCAGTGGAAGGCATAAACCAGATAGTGACCGGAGAACTTATCTCTTTATCCGAACAGGAACTTGTAGACTGTGACAGACAATACAATTCGGGATGTAATGGCGGTTTGATGGATTATGCCTTCAAGTTCATAACCGAAAATGGCGGCATAGACACCGAACGACACTACCCTTACCATGCTGTTAATGGCAACTGTGATCCTGCTCGGGTTAGTTTTTCCTTCTTCCCAAATATATATTTAAAAATTTCTAATTGATTTTTAATTTAGGTTTCTTGATTTTGGGTTATTTCAGAAGAATTCTAAGGTTGTGAGCATTGATGGGTATGAAGATGTGGTGGCTTCGGATGAGATGGCATTGAAGAAGGCAGTCGCTCATCAGCCTGTTAGTGTCGCCATTGAAGCTGGTGGCAGATATTTACAGCACTACCAATCCGTAAGTTTGCTCCTAATATTTCAATTCGTGCTGTATAATAAACTCGAAGTGAACTAAAACTGAGAATAGATGTATGAACGGACATGTTGCAGGGTGTTTTTACTGGGGAATGTGGTACGGATCTAGATCACGGTGTAATAATTGTTGGGTACGGCACCGAAAATGGGGTGGACTATTGGCTGGTGAGGAACTCATGGGGCACCAACTGGGGAGACAGTGGGTATATCAAGATTGAGCGTAATTTTGCCAGGAACAAAAATGGCAAGTGCGGGATTGCAATGGAAGCCTCTTATCCGTTAAAGACCAGCCTAAACCCTATACAAACAACCCAGAAAAATGAGAACGACATTGAAGGGGGTAAAATTACCAGTGCATGATTGAGTATTTGTTCATTTTCCCAAGAGAAAAGTAGACGAAGAAGAAGAAGAAGAAGAAGAAGCAATAGTCATGAAATCATTGCGAGAATGGGTTGATGTATTTTGTGTTCATCGTCCATCATTCATCTATATTTTATTTTAAGGGCAGCCACTCATTTATCCTTTTTCTAATTCAGTCCGACAATCATGGTTGTATGTATATAAGTATTCCAAATTCAGTACCTGCAAAATCCGGCTGTATTCCTAATTCATCCTGGTTTTAGTTTCCCATTTGGTTCGTGTTACTGTTCTTTATGTTAAACTAATCCTTATCAACTTAATAATTTTCGCTTTCTAAAGTTTCTCTTTTTAATAATTATTTCCTGGAGAGATTCAATGTGTTTCTTCTCCCGCTTTAACACGCACAGTTATACATACATACATACATACATACATACATATATATATATATATGAATTTGAGAATATGAATTTGGCATATTCTTGAGAAGGGGAATGAATTATATCCCTAAATAATTCAGACATTATCTAATCACTCAAAATAAAAAATTAAGCAAGCAAATTAGTGCTGAATAATTGATTATTTAATATAAAGTTATTTATTATAACTAATTAAAAGTATTTAAAAGTCAAATATATAATTGGCTTCCTTATTAATTAAAGGAGTGTACAATAATATTATAATTATTTAACCTAAATATATGAATCTTAGCTTGTGATAAAATTATTAATTAATATAACTACGGCGGCCAAAATTAAAGTTTGAACGCTTAATTTTTTGCTATTATTTCACAATAAATAATATAATGTTGACTAATTATTATAAAAAATTAAAAATTTTAAACTAACTAAAAAAGCTGTCCTTTATTTGTATTATTAATTTATATATTTAGAAATAATGAATTATTAATTGTATATTATTTTTTCAATCATATCAAATCTATTAATACATTTAATCTGCAATCTCACCTGATTAATTACATCTTTTAGAAAAATACAGTTGGAATTTGATATGATTGCCTGACAAATTAACGAATTAGGTAATTAATTTAGTACTCATTATAATTTAGTTTATAATTTAATACCCAAAATTTTATTTTCTTTAGATTTAAATATAATTTTCAATTTCTTATCCTACAAATTAAAAGAAAATTAAATACATATATTATTTAATTCAATTATTTAAAGAATTGTTTTAATATATATAAAGTAACTAATTAAATTCCTTTAATAACTTTATTTTAACGAGCACATGGTGCAATCAATTTGTGCTGTATAAATGCAGTAAAAAAATTCATATATATATATATGTGTGTGTGTGTGTATTTATGAAAACAATATATAATAATTGAAAATAGAATAAAGTCATAATTCTACTATAATTTCGAGATATTAATTTTATTTTCGCATTTCAGTATAAATAAATAAATATGATTTAAAATTTTAATATGCAAAACACGGTTAAATGGACTTTATAATTCCTCTGTTCAGTCCTTTCTGAATTACTATCATTAGGAGCGTAGCATTTTTACAGGCAGCGTCTAGAAATTCAGAATTTCTCTGGGTAAATTAATATATATATATATATATAATGTTAAAAATGAAAAATTGATTTTATTTATTTAAAAAAAGTATTATTTCTTTCGCATATATTCTAATTCCTGAGAACAAGTCCCAGATTGGTGGCATTAATTGGTAGAGGTCAACTAAAGCACCAGTGTGTCGCAAACCAAAACCCAGAAACAGAAATGGTTGCTGTCTTCAACAAAGAGCTCTTGAGCTGGTACCTAATAACCCTCAAGCTCCGTGAAACCGTAGAATCTGGAATCGTAAATTCACCTTCAACCGATCGATCCGTTCAATTCCCAGAAGAGCAGACTCATCGCCACCTCCAGAATCATCAACAACGGGCGGCTCCTCCATCAGATGCGTTGCGGGTCGTAATAAACGAAGATAGCCATGAAAATTGCTCGGAGGAGGTCCCCAAGTCGCCGGAATCCGAATGGGTGATCTCCATCAAAGAAAAACTCAACCAAGCTCGCCAAGACGACGCAGCTGGTTCGTGGGCAAGACTCAGCATTTACAGAATACCCCACTATCTCCGCGAAGGAGACGACAAGGCTTACGTTCCTCAGATTGTCTCGTTGGGACCTTATCACCATGGGAAGAAGCGGCTGCGACAAATGGATCGCCATAAATGGCGTTCGCTTCACCAAATTCTGAAACGGACCGATCAGGATGTGAAGATCTACCTCGACGAAATGAAAGAGCTTGAAGAAAAAGCTCGCGAGTGTTACGAAGGACCAATACTTATGAGCAGCAGTGAGTTCGTGGAGATGCTGGTTCTGGACGGCTGCTTCGTGCTCGAGCTATTTCAAGGGGTTGCCGGGGGATTCAAGCAACTGGGTTACCCGCGAAACGACCCTGTTTTTGCAATGCGTGGCTCAATGCATTCGATTCAGAGAGACATGGTCATGCTGGAGAATCAGCTTCCGCTGTTTGTTCTTGATAGGCTGCTGGAGCTTCAGCTGGGTAAATCTCACCACAGAGGACTGGTAGCCAAGTTGGCATTGACTTTTTTTGATCCATTGATGCCGACGGACGAGCCATTGCCGACAAGTAACAGGGACAAATTGGAAGAGTCTCTTGGTGATCATGCGACAGTCTTCGATCCCTTGTCCGAAAAGGGTTGTCTTCACTGCCTCGATGTCTTCAGGCGAAGTCTATTGCGCACCGGCCCTCAACCCACGCCGAGGGTTTGGATGAAGAGATGGTCACACGGCAATCGTGTGGCTGACAAGCGGAGACAGCAGCTGATTCACTGTGTATCAGAGCTCAGAGAAGCCGGCATAAAATTCAAGCGGAGGAAGACTGATAGGTTTTGGGATATAAAATTCGAGAATGGGATTCTCAGGATTCCCCGGCTCTTAATCCATGACGGTACAAGATCACTTTTTCTGAACCTCATTGCGTTTGAACAATGCCATTTGGATTGCACCAATGATATAACATCATATGTTGTGTTCATGGACAACTTGATTAACTCGCCGGAGGATGTGGGTCACCTCCATTATTTCGGCATAATTGAGCATTGGCTTGGCAGCGATGCAGAAGTGGCGGACCTCTTCAACCGGCTGTGTCAAGAAGTAGTTTTCGACATGAACGACAGTTATCTTTCTCGACTATCAGAGGATATAAACCGGTACTATAACCATCGGTGGAATGCGTGGAGGGCGAGCTTGAAACACAACTATTTCAACAATCCTTGGGCGATTATCTCAGTCGTGGCTGCTGTGGTTTTGCTGCTGCTTACCTTTGCACAGACGTTTTATGCAGTCTACGGGTACTACTGGCCTCGTTCTTGATTCTTGGGTTTTGAGTTTGAAAGAAGTGTTTTTCAAGTCTTCAAATTGTTGGTAAGCCTAAATAAAATTAAAGGGAAATATTCTTTTTAACTAATTGGGTAATGCTAGGAATATATATTAGACTATTAAGAGACAAGTTGACTGGGGAATTGTGTTGTGTAAGTTTATACAGAACTTGATTGTTTGCTTGTGGACTTGACAATTGAATGTTGTTCGTTTTGTGGTAATAAATCGCTCGAGAGCTTTCCAAATTTGGAACCTTGATGATGTTTTCTTATTATTCTTTCTACCATTACTTGCAAGTTAACATTTTTAATTAAATATTAAAGATAATACATGAAAAGAAAACATAATTCTTAATTAAAATATTTGGAAAAAGGACATAAGAAGCAAAATAAACTTTTATATACAGTTGCGTGACTTACAATACACTCTCTTTTGTCAAGATCTTGTTCATATCTGTATGTGTATATATATATATATGCACAGTCGTATTATCAATATCCTAACCAAACACATTTTTTGATCATCTTTCAATAGCTTATAAGCTTCTTTTTAAGTTTATAAGCCTTATCAACTAAAAACTTAAAACTTCAAAGAGAAAAAAGGGTCTTAGGCTACTCGTATTCAAGACATAAAGAGGAGTATCAAATAAACAGCATAGGAACAGGAAAATTTGAACGGTGCCTCGGTAAATCAAAGCACTATATACCTCAGTAGTGTCGGAGTCATCTCGTGATCCAAAACAATCAAATGAAGTTAAATAGTTAAAATTTGATTCCAAAAATCTAACATTGATAAGTGGTGAAGGAATGAAGCCTAGAAAACATCATAATTCAATCATCCCCAACATCACGAACAAAATTTATGGGTCAAACAAGCTGAGGTACTTCAAAAGAGCCTTTTGACCATTTCCATTGAAAGTAAGGTAAACAACAAGCTTTCCTTTCTAAAAGAAATAGAAAATGAGAAATTCCCCACCTGCAATAACTACCATTGCGGTATTTATTCTCTAGTAAAACCATCCCCAACGGCCAAAAAGTGGGACTGTAACATAAATCCTACTTGTTGCTTAATTTGCATTCCCTTCTAAAAAGAACTAATCACTTAATTGATGTCCAAGTAATAGGAAATGTAGCATGCCCCTTTTATACACAAGGATTTTTTTAAAATTTGAATGGCAGTCATTTTGATTCCCTAAGTTGAATCTTTCACTAAAACATACCAAGGCTGAACCAGTAAACCTCTGGTAGGAAACAGCAGATTGATCCAATGTGCTTATATTTTACTCCTTCTGAAAACTTTCCCATCTTCTGCATCCCAGGTGGAGGCTGCAAATAGAAACCACATGGCAAAGAGATCAAAGGGAATAAATAAAATAAAAAGACCTTTTGCGAATGGGTTGACTGGAAAAGTATGATTCGCAATACCTGAGAATCTCAATCCCTAGGAAGGTTTGGGCTGTCAGATGGAGGTACTTTCTTTCCAACATATCGCTATTGAAAAGAATGAAAAATAAGTTCAATCAAATACAAAATAAATAGACAATGAGCATATCAAAATACAAACTACACATCGGAAAATAGACGGGCTTATGATACCTGTTTCCCAAATGAGAATGGGACATATTTATATTTGATCATGTGCTGAATTTGTCTCCTCATTGTGAGAATAAATAGCATGAACCAGTAGAAAAGGAGTATTGGCCAAAAGACAGGTACATCAAAGGCACTGAAGAACGTCATCACAAAGGCAATGCAGAATGCTCTGGTAATAGCATACCTAACACAAAAAAACACAAGAATCTCAATACATTTTCTTTTGAAGTAAATATATGATATATCATTAATTAAAAGTACCAAAAGGATATCAACCAATATAAAAAGTTACTTACATGTCAATCAAGATATCGATAAGGTCCCTGAAATCCTCTATAAAATATAGAGGATAACCATAACCAAAAAACTTAAAAGTCTGGAACCTCTTATCTCTAACCTTATCTAGATCCTCTTCCACCCACTCAAAAGCCCTTCTGTTTCTTTTTTTTTTACACTATGCAAAATATAGCAGAGGAAAAGAATCTCAATACATTTTTAAGCACCCAATGAACTGCACAAAAAATTTATTCTTTTCAGGGTTCAGAAATGGAAAAAAAATAATAATCACACCAAAGAAATGCCTTTCTGTGATTGAAGCATTATTGCCCCTTTTTTTAAAATAAAAATTGAAGCATTATTGCCCTCAATGATTATCCAAATCCAAATCCTAAATTTTGCTTTTGACAGCACATTGTGATGGCTTGCTAGCTACAATACAGCACTGTTGTTGAAATGAGTGCCTTCAACAAATAGTATATATGATAAAATACGAGTTCTTTTTGTGCTCCGCAAACGTGACTGAAGCTTCCGACAGGCTTTCTCCTCAAGCCTCACTACCTTATTGTGAATTTGGGATTCAAGTCAGGACTGACATCGGAATCGTCCCTTCTATTAAACCAGGTAAAATAATTGGAATTTCTAGACAGACATGTTAGTATTAAAGTTCCTTTCGTGGTTCCAAGATTTTGAAGGTTTGTTAACTGCCAACTTAAAATATACCAGGCTCAAATTTCAGATCAACCTATCACAAATTGCAGCATCAAACAATAAAAAATATAAGGAATTCTAGCATTTGCCCTCTTTGATTACCGGCATCCTGAAACAATGGATTTTATCCTCAAACAACCAACCAGAAGTTAAGAGCTTTCCACTCAATTTGAAATTCTCTAACGCCAATACTTAACCCAGAAATAGGAACAATCCTGCTACAGTTTCTCCATAAACATTTTAAAAAGTCAAACTTCAAGAAAATCATGGTTCGCAGAATCACTCCAACTATATGATCTAAATCCCTATATGCGCGAAAACAATTATACAAGCCTAAGATATTGTAATCGAGATACTTGATTTAGATCTCCTATAATTCCTGATTTTGAGACAGTTGCGGAAAAAGAAAACTAACATGAACCTCGATCGACAAATTAATCCCCAATCTAACAAGCATTTAGATACACATACACCGCAGAGAAGAGGAAGAAAGCATAAATTCCTTTGATTGGTAAAAGTGATAAGGTCACTGAAATGGACGAACCAGAACTTGAACTCAGGGAGACGGCGTACGAAGGGGCGGAACTCGTCGGATCCGCGGGTAGGGAGAGTGGGCCCATCTAGCGTCTCGGGATCGACCTGAGGAGATAGAAAGCCCATAAGCAAGTTGAGCATGTAGATGCCGAGGCCATAGGTGATGATGTAGAATCCCTGCACCAGATACACGCGCAGAGCGTAGATGAAAATGACGGCCAGGCAGCCGATCCAACGGTAGAGAATGTGCGGGACCGACTTGTCCAGGAGATGCTGGTACCGCCGCGAAATAGCAAAGGTCCACCGGGAAATGGCTGCAGCGGGGGATGAAGCCGAGGAGGAGAGATCGTCTCCGGCAAGGACACCCCCTGCCGCTCCGGTATCCATTCGGCCACACAAAATTTCCCTTTCTCGCCGCGTTCGTCTCTCCCCTCTTTCTCGGTATCGATCACTTTGTTTCTTTTCTCTGCAAAATTTCCCTTGTGATGGTATCTGCAAAACTAGAGCGCCCTGATTTGATTTTTAGTAAATGCTCGGTAATTGAGTACTGCAAAACGTCATCGACCGGTTTTATTAAACCCGGTTCGTATTACCCATTTGGTCCGGTCTAAAATTATTCATCTTTATAATAATAAAAATTTAAAAATAGTATTTATTTTAATGAGGCCCCCTCATTAAAAAAAATTAGGCCCAGTCCACCAGTCTCATCAATCTAATTGCGAACCAGATATTTAGTGATTTAAAAAAATATCAAATTGACAAAATAAAATTAAAATTAGTCCGAGCAAGTTGATTAAATTAAAATTATTTTTTTGAATAATTAAAATTTTTATTTTTTAAAATAAAAAACCTTAAACATTTAACATGTTACTTATATAATTTTCATTTTTATATTAATTATTATTTTTTAAAAAAAGATCGTGTGTGCTGATCAGGCCCAGACCAGCCCACTAATAATCTTGTGATTGTAATTACGTTTTTGACCGACGATGAGAGCGGGTGTCTCCATCTTACATCCGAAGCGCCAGTTAAAAGTTCGTTCGCCGCAGCACCGGCCATTAACACCGCCTCGCATACCTTAATTTGAAATGCTGCTAACGAGCTAATCCATATTCGAAACCTGTAACTATCTTCTAAACCAAACAAATCACAGCTTGATCTCATTCTACATCTCTATATTTACTGCGAAACTCGGAGACCAAGCTCGCGATCTAAATCCTGGTTAGTATACGGTTTCGTGAATTAGCTTGCTTTTCCTTTACGGCATTATTCAGCGGCATTGACAGATCTTGGTGCGTTAATGAAAATATCCGGTTTGCGATTCAAATGTCTTCTTTATGCCTTTTGTTTTTACGCGTAGTTTTGGTTATTTACGTGTTTTGGATTTAAAGCAGGTTATACTACGGTGTCACTAATGTAAGCGTGTATAACCTGCATTTCTTGTATTTTTTTTTTAAACTTGACCTCTGGTTCTTGCATGGAGTAGTCTGTAACTTCACGGCGCCTGTCACAACTTCCGTTGGTATTGTGATAGTGTTTTTTGGTTAAGCGGAACGTTCATTGTGACTTGCGGTTGTTGATTGGAATATTGTGATTGGATTTTCCATTTTCAGTTTGTTGAGGAGATTTAATTTTTCTTTTTCAGTCTCGGAAAGTATATATGCATATGGCTAATAGATTGATTTCGTTTTCACCTCAAAGAACTCCGTGAAATTCATTACCACAGCAAAGCAGCAACTCAGCTAAACAGTCCCTTAGATTTCTAGTTTCTTAATTGCTTTGATGATTACTTTACAGGCTTTACAGTCAGAGGCGTAACCTTATAGTAGCGTTTAAACTTATATTTAGCGGAATGGACTCAGAATCTGCTGACTCATCATATCGGCCTCCTACTAAAGCTTCTGATAGTGAAAATCCAGCTGCTGTTGCTTCTCTTCAACCTATTGATAAAGCTGCTGAAGTTGAACCCACCGGTAGAGGTACTCATGCTGAACCTCCTCCTAAAGCTGCTACTGCGGAATCTCCTGCAACAATTTCGAATGTTGAAACTCTGGCTAAAGCTACTGATTCAATTGTCCCTCACGCACCAAGTGGTGGCGGTCATGATACTTCACATGGAGAATCACCACCGTCTATGTTTTCTGCTTCAGGCCTGTCTTCCTGGGCCAAAAATTTGAAGTTCCCCCAACAGGATTCACCATCTGCAAGTTCTGGAATGTCACCACTTGAACGTTTCACTAGTGGGCTTGGACTGCATCTGCCAACAAAGATTCCTGGGGCAGATGAGACCACAGAAGCCACAACAACAACCACACAAGGTGCTTTTGAATCCTTTACAAAGGGTTTGGTTGACTCATCTCGTAGTGCAGTGAAGGCAATGCAGGTCAAGGCGCGCCACATTGTCTCTCAAAATAAAAGAAGATACCAGGTAGAGTAGTCGTATAATTATTGCTAAGATAGTATTTCTGTTCTGTAATGCCACAATTCTCAGAAATGCTTTATATATTATTTATCATTTGAATTTCGTTGAACTGGCATTTCAGCAGTATACTTCCACTAGAGAACCAGCATTTTCTAAGTCATACTCTGCTCTCGTTTTTTCTTCCCATCTATGTTACATTTCAATTAAAGAGAATCCATGTGGCATGAACTAGTACAGTTATTTTTTATTACCAGCTGTTATTGCATAACACTGGTTTTAGTAGCATAACCTTATAAATGCTTCGTCACCAAAAGCACCAGAAGCTAAAAAGCCAAAAACTGTTAGTTTCATTTATGATGATAATACTTACCGCTGCTATAAATATCTATCAACCAACTTGATTTAAACATCTAAGAATATAATTGTAAATTATCACCGGTTACCATTAAGTATATAGTACCATGTGTCATTTGCAGGAGGGAGAATTTGACTTGGATATGACATATATTACTGAGAATATAATTGCTATGGGGTTTCCAGCTGGCGATTTGAGTTCTGGGTTATTTGGATTTTTCGAGGTCAGAATACCTGTTTGCAGTTTAAGTTTCATTGTCAAAATTCTTTTCCCCTTCAAACAATGTTATTGATGAACAAGTGCGATCCAGGGTCTTTATCGCAATCACATGGAAGAAGTGATAAAGTTTTTTGAAACACACCACAAGGTAATACTTATGTAAAGTACAAAGGAATAAATTTTTATTGCGAATGATTTCTAGGCATGGTGCTTCTTTTTGCCACTTCCTGGTATTGGCCTGTTCTAGTCTTTTAGTTATTTGTACTCTTTAAGTTTTCAGTTTTTGGTTATACCTCTTGAGTTTGCCAATTAAGCAGTCTTATCTGACATCTGTAATTGTCATCTGAGGCAATCTAGTTCAAATTTTGGCAAGCTGACCTATTATCCTCTTTATTTACTGGCCTTTTAAATCAATAACATTCAGGGGAAATACAAAGTATACAATCTTTGCTCGGAGAGGCTCTATGATGCATCAAGATTTGAGGGAAAGGTGCTGCTTTCAGTTCTTGACTCTTAGAATTTCTGATTATACATTTGTATGTCCTCTATTTCTATAAAAGTAGCATTTTCCATTTATACACACACACACACGTGTAGTCATATTAGCTGTAGTTATGTACTTCTGTAAAATTATTGAGAATAATTGAGTGTATATTTTATTGAATACCAATATACGAGTTTTCTATAATAGAAAGAAAACAAATAATTGATATGGCATATTTTAGCCAAATGTCCTTTAACTTAATTATCTTTTAATTATATTTAACACATTCTTCAACACTCTCCCTCAAGTTTTAGATATTGTTCATCCTCAGCTTGCCAATAATAGTACGAAATGTTGGATTACTCAAGTCTTTGTTCAACACGTATGCAAGTTGTGAGCTAATAGGTATATATGGAGTAAATGTTAAACTACTATTTAACTTCTCTTTGATGAAATATTTGTCAATCTCAATATGTTTGCTCCTATATTGTTGTACCGGATTATATGTGATGCTTATGGTTGATTTCTCGTCACAGTATACGCGTATAGGGTCATCCCCTCGATTCTTATGTTTTCTAAAATTCTTTTCAGCCATAGCAACTCACTCTGAAGAAGTCGCTGAAAGTGTACCAAAGGAAGAAGGGAAAAATGGAAATAATTGTAGGGGAAAGAGGGTTGCTGGTATTTCAACAACAGAATGTAGTTCTTATTTCCATTTTGTGTTTTCTTTCTGTTGTAACAAAGGACACGTCTTCTGTCCCTCTCTGGAGCTATATAAACAGCTTCTCCAAGAGTAAGATATACAAAAAATATTCAAATTTACATTCCTATTCAAATTTCCCTCTTCCTTTCAACTCTTCTCTCTCTCCCTTTTTTTCTTTCCTTTTAAGCCATTGAGTCACAAATTGTGAGTAAGGTTCCTAACATTCACATGTCCCTTAAGCCATTTGCTTGGAATTCTAACTCAGCACTTGATCTTGTAACTACATTCTATTTTTTACATCTCCAAATAACTAAGTTGCCTTGAAAAATAACACAGTAATCTATGGTAGATCTTCTGCCCCAATCAACATAGGTAGTTAGGGATAACAAGATTCATATTGTATTTATATTAGCAACTGGTGCAAATATCTCTTGATAGTTTATTCCTTCAATTTGAGTATAGCTTTTTGTCACCAATATTGTTTTATGCTTCTTGATTATTCCATCTGTCTTATATTGTATTGTGAACACCCATTTACACCCTATAGGTTTCTTTCCTTTGGGCATGTTCACCACCTTCCATGTCCGGTTATTCTCTATTGCCTGTATTCCAACATCATCGCATTTTTTCACTTTTCACAGGATAAAACCTTAGACAATGTATTAAGAATAGATATTGCATTTAGACTCATAAGAAATTTTTGTGAGATAAAGAGCATCTTCAGATGATACAAAGTTTGAAACTGGGAGCAGTGTGTTTTTTAGTATATTCCCTAATCTCCTTTCTGATAGCAGTAGGTAAATCTATATCAGAAAGCAAAAAGTTTTCAGGAGTTACCTCGTTTTCAGGACTCGGTTTAGATTCTTGAATTTGCTTTGGTTCAGGATCCCAATTTTCCTCCTTGAGTACGATTGAGTGAATCGTGGGTCCTATATGGCTGCTACGCTAGACTTATTATCTGGATTTTAGTTGTATCTGGGATTTGCTTTATAAGTTTTGGTGCAACTAAGACTGAGAGAGTATATTATTTGGTGATGAGGAAGGTAGTGGTATATCAAGAATGAAGAAATCCTTTAGTTAAAGCAAACTTTCGTTAAAGAAGATAACTTTAGTTAAAGAAGGATCCAGTTTCAACATATATGACATCTGAGAATACATAAATTTTATCCCCTTTGAGTGGATGAGTTTGCACAAACACATTTTCCCCTTTGATAGTAACGTGGTGAACATAAATAACACACCTAAAGACTTTAAGGATCAGGTGATCAGTGAATCTTATCTCAGGGGAAAAGGTAGAGAGAACTTCTGTGGAGCTTCAGGACTCCAATACCCTAAATGCTAACCTGTTAATAAGATATGTAACAATTGAAACTGCTTCCCCCCAATATTGTTTAGGTACCTGGTGTTGAAACAAGAAGGCAAGGGTAGTATCAAGTGAGTGACTATTTTTCCTTTCTACCAGTCCAATTTGTTGTGGAGTGTGAACATAGGAAAACTTATGAATAATCCCCCCACTATCAAAAAAAAGGACAGCAGTGTTTGATTGAAATAATTTTTAGTGTTGCAAGTCTAGAAGCATTTAATTTTTACCTCTAACTGTTTTAATATTTTATGAAATTGAGAAATAAAAAGACTCACTTCAGATTTGTATTTTAGTAGGAAGACCCAGGTTATCGGTGTACAGTTATGTATGGATAAAATAAACCATTTAACCTCAAAATGTCAGAAATGTTTGACAGACCCTAAATATTACTATGGATTAAAGTAAAAAGAAACATACTTTTTTTTATCACATGGAGAAAAATTTTACGTGTTTGTATTTGCCAATTCACATATATCACAACATAAAATTTTCATTATTGGAATACTTAAACAAGGAGAAAAATATAACCTTAAGTGTAAAAGAAAAGGGTGTCCTAATACCATATTGAGAATAATTGATTATGTATTTTATTGAATAGTAAGGCGCTATATATACAAATTTTCTATAATAGACAACAAAACAAATTATTAACTACATAGGGCATATTTTATCTAAACACCCTTTATCCTAATTCTCTCTTAATTACATGATATAATTCTTCAACAAATATCCATGCTTAAAGACTGCACTTCATGTCTACCCTTTAAACTACCGGACCTTAATTCTTTCTCTTTCCTTTCTAATGGCCCATCAGACCGTCATTAGGCTAAGTTAGTTGCACCTCGTGCTGATTATGTTGGCCTGCAACTATTTGCACACAATTCCTATGTGACCTGATAGTTGAATGTTATACTCATTTTATTTTACATGCCAAAATGAGGAATCTTGTTTTCTAAAGATTAGGAAAGATGAAGGTTTTAGTAATAAGACTTTTCTGACACTTGTACTCAAGGAGACATGAGGAATCTTGTTTTCTTAATCTTATTTTACACGTCATCATCATTTCATGAAGCAAGTGGTCAAGGGTTTCCTGTAAAGAGGATAAGAAACTTCTAATATCATTTTTGGGCTTCTTAGATCCTTTTGGTTCTAAGTGCTTAGCTGACATGTTGATTCAGTTATGGACAGGGGGCAAATCAAAGCATGATGTTTGTTTTATGGAACAGATGATCATGCACTCCTCTTCAACATTAAAATTAGTCCTGTATATATTGTTCTTATTACGTTTCTGAGATCATTATCTATCCAAGGATCTGTCTAGCATTGCTATTTGAATTTGACCGATATTAGTTTCCATCTTAAAAGGTAGTTTGATTAATTGTTTTTCAGGTTGCCTGTTTTCCATTTGATGACCATAATTGTCCTCCTATTCAGTTAATACCATCATTTTGTCAAAGTTCATACTCCTGGTTGAAAGAGGATATTCAGAATGTGGTAGTTGTTCATTGTAAGGCTGGTATGGCGAGAACAGGATTAATGATTTGTAGTCTTCTTTTATTCCTCAAGGTGAATCAAAAATAGAATTCATTATGATATTCTGGTTGCACTTGTTTCTTTTTCTAGTCAGTAATTGTCTTACGAGCGTATTATAACTTTCTTTGCTGTCCGTGTTTCAGTTTTTCCCAACAGCTGAGGAAGCCATGGATTACTATAACCAGAAAAGATGTGTTGATGGCAAAGCTCTAGTTCTCCCTAGTCAAATTGTCTGTCATTACTTTATAAACAGCTCTCATCTGCAACTGTTTCTATCATTTTCACATCCTTCTGATTCCTATTTTTCCTTTCCTTCAGAGGTATGTCAAGTATTTTGAGCGTATTTTAACATACTTCAACGGACAAATTCCACCTGGACGCAGGTACTTTAATCTTCTGATCTCTCTACCAATGCATTACTTTGATTGTCGCTTGAAGAAATTAAAAAGTGATGATTGTTCAGGTGCATGCTTAGGGGATTTCGTCTTCACAAGTGTCCTTACTGGATTAGGCCCTCTATTACAATCTCCAATCATGGCGGTATGCTGCAATGGTTTTACCATCATATATGGATTTCCTTTTAGTTAGTGTACTTGTCATTTTGAGAGCACTTTTTCCTCGTATTTGTTTACATCCTCCGCGTATGTTTCCTCTAAAGGAAATGGAGTTGACCTAGCAACATAAAGTTAGGTTGGGGTCCTGGGAAATTTATATTATTATTTGGAGCATAAAGGAATCATGCTCTGCTATAATTCCTTGAGCCAAAATGTGTCAGAGGCTTAAGAGAGAAAAGATATATACTATTATTTGCTTTTCAAAAGCTGTGATCTTTATTCAATTAATACAAAGGTGAAGAATTGTGGAGACAAGTTACCTCCAAGGCATAATAGCATCTCCTTGGGTCTTCCCTTCAGTTCTTGGCAATTGCCAAAAAAAGAGAACTCTATACCGATGTTTAGGCCAAAGGACCTGATAATTCTTTGAAGAAGAAAGAGTTCTGTTGTTCTCTCTTTTTTAGGTGGTGCAAGATTTAATAGAAAGCCTCAATCTAATTGTCTTTTTATCTAGGAATCCATCCACTCTTGCACTTTGCTTGGTATCATCTTTTACTGTTTTACATGTGATATATAACTGTACCTAAACGAGCTGAACTTTTGTTCAAAGGAATTTTGTTCTCAACAAGAAAGCATCCAAAAACCAAGGATCTCATGGTAAATATTTTCTTCCTCGTATTTTTCTGCTGAGGGTTTTTATTAAGTTTTACTGCTAATACTCCCTTATAAATTTTTAGCCAGAAGATTTCTGGATAAAGGCTCAAAAGAAAGGGATTGTTGTCTTTGCTTTACCTGGGGAGCCTGGTCTGACAGAATTGATGGGGGACTTCAAAATCCATTTTCATGACCGTCAGGGAGACTTTTACTGGTATGTAAAATTCCTTTTTTGCTCTATTTCCCTTATCGTGTAATGTCATATCAATGCTTTTTCTTTTCTGAGGATCAAAGATGCAATTTTTATGCCATTCCTGAATTATCATCGATGTATTCCATTGCACCTTGGCTTCTTCTCGTGATATGGAATATTTCATTATTTGTGTTATAGGAATCCTATTCACATAAGTGAAAATAAGAATTTCTTTTTCCTACAGCTGGTTAAACACAACAATGACGGAAAACAGAAAAATGCTAAGTGCAACTGATCTTGATGGTTTTGATAAGGTAAATGACCGCCAATGTACATTAGTATGTACACATATACGTGTATATATATATATACTGGCACTAAGTGCAACCTATATCCTTAAGTGAATGTTATCTCATTTCCACACCCACCTGCTTTCTGCTTTCTATTTTTTTCAAGTCCATCTTATAGCTTCTTGGGTGTGGCTTGCAGCGGAAACTGCCTTCTCCAGGATTCCAGGTTGAAATTGTAATGGTGGACTACGATGGTACCCTACCAACAAAATCTAAAGCTGATTGTGCTAGCAGGGGTCCTGAAGGTGGCTCAGCTTATGTTCAGAGTGGAGTTGCTGCAAGTTCCGGTCAAAGCAAAGTTTCTGCAAATGAAGACAACGATGATGTATTCTCAGACAGCGATGAAGACGAGTCAAGGACATCCAAGAACACACAAGCTCAAGTTGCTTCTGGACATGTATCTGCTGGTCATGTTTCTAACATTGCATTGGAGAATATGGGGAGTTTAACACGTGGAGTTGATAATATGTCCCTGAGAAATGAGGAAGCAAAAGCAGATAATGCTACCAATAAGTCAAATGTTGCTGAGGCTGCTAAACCTTCCTCAGTTAGTGAAATGCCACATTTTGAATCAGTAGGAGCAAGCAATATCAAAGCCATTGCCGCTGATGCTTCAGTTTTCTCTTTCGGCGACGAAGATGATTATGAAAGTGATTGAAGCATTTGCCAATTGTACGAGAAAGATGCTATGGGAGTTGACTCCAATTACTATCAGATAAAAGAAAGCTCATGGAATCAGGTATTAGCTTTGAATTTGTTGCCTTAATTCATTTTAGCTTTTATTCATTACAATATATATTTTATCATTGCGCCGCGCCCTTGTTGAAATTGTCTCATCAGTTTCATTTTCTTTGCACTGTCGATAATGCCGCATAATGTAGGTGGATGCAAAGAAAACTCCACATCCACTAAAAACAGAGCATCAACTGACTGAAGGAGTTTGAATCAAACTAGGCTGCCAGCAATATTCATTAGGCAACTTTGTTCTTCATGGTTTCTCCTTTTAGCAAGTTTCCAGGTGCTAAAACCCGCCCGGCCTTGACCCACAAGAAATTGCTTGCTTGTCCAAGTCACTTTTTCATATTATTTCTTGTGATTTAATCCTATTTAAATTCAAAACATAATTTTTTATGACAATCCAATTACCATACCTTTACGTGCTTGAGTTTCTAAAGGTATACAAGTTCAAAATTCAATGAAAAATAGTAGGGAAAAAGAAACTACAAACAAGAGCTTACATAATAGAAGAATTAATTTTCATATTGATGTGTAAATTATTGAATTTAGTTTTTCTTTTATACAATGCAGATGAACAAACCAAAAGTGAAAAAAGAAAACCCTAATTTAATGTAAAGATTAATTGCAAAACACAACAATGTAGACAGGTTAGTGAAGAACATAACACCGCAAGGGGTATGCCCAAACACTTCTCACCCCGGTGTCCCTTATCTTTAACATCACCGTTTCGATCCATTAACAAAAAAACGTGACAAAAAAATTGGTGGTAAGAAATGAAAAGACTAAAGAAATCCTGGAATCCTTTTTTCTTCTTCCTTCCCAAATAACCATCTTCATCCTAAGACAATAATTTAAAGCTAAGCAAAGAGATTTGTTCTTACCATGAAGGGACGCCTTGGCAGCAAAAATTAACACGAGGGATCATATTTTACCTTGCCTTTTTCTTTAAGTCCTTCAGTTTCTCAACTTTCTTTTTGAGATCAGATATAATCTTATCCTGCATAGAGAGTTGAAAATCCTTCTCTCTCAGCTCCTTCTTCAGTCTTTCAATCTCTTTCAAGTGATCTTCGCATTGATTTATGCTTTCCTCTAATTTTTCTTCACTTTTATGATCAACCTTTTGTCTCTTCAATGCATTTGTGTTGTTATCCTCATCATTCTGGCTTGTGTTAGCCCTAGTCTTCCCTTCACTTTCTCTGTCTGTCTCTAGTCCTTCAGAATCATCAGAGTGCTCCTTGTCTCGTAAAGCTCTTTTCTTCCCTAGAACTTGGCCAATATCATTATCACGGACCATTTTACGAACGTAGAGGCAAGCATCTAGTCCAGAACTGAGTTTAAATGTCACTAGTTTCTGGGGAAGACCAGATGAATCCTAATAAGACAACAACAAGATCGAAATTAGAATCATCAAGATAGAAATTGGCCTCCCTACACTTCTGGAATGCAAATGAAACTAGATTGTAAAAGAATGTAATTATCAGAGAGGTTAAATCAACTCTAACACCATCAAGAAAATACATCCTCAAAATAAAAAACCCATTAGGAGTGGGAAAGACAGATTAAAAGTAGCACCAGAGAAAAAGAAAAGTTACCTTCTCAAGGATGCCTTTCAGATTTTCAAATACACAACACGCCTCCTGTGGATTTGGAAAGGTGACAAGAGCAGAATAATTTCCTCCTTGAGCTTTCTTAGATGGCTGTCATCAAATATTCAATTAGGCACATCAACAAAGCATTTTAAGAATTAATCACTTATTGCAACCCCATCTCATCATTAGTTACAAAGAAAAAGACCCAAGTTTTAAGAATTAACCTTCTCCCCCTCTCGCACCAAAGAGAAAAGGAGAAAGATGTTTGACTCTCTACCTTTACTTCGACTGTAAAATCCCCAGGAAGGATTCTGTGTAATTCTTCGCAAGGCACATTTTTTGGTATTCTATGGAGAAGGAGCTTTGCCATCTCAAGTGCTGCCACCTACAGTTCCCTTGAGATATAAATAAGCAAACACAAATACACTGGATGAAAATAGATGTGACCCATTCCACATTAACTTACATCTTCACTCGAGGGAATAATGGTATCTACTCCCTGCTTGACTGCAGCAAGAACAAGCTTCATTGCAGCAGTTGCATCTTGTACACAGTCATGGGGAGCACCCTTCTTTCGGAGCTCATAACCCAGAACAGACTGTCAAAACAGGATATGGAAAAGTTAGCTATATAAAATTGAACACCCCATAATCATTTGCCTTCAGTCACATGAATATAAATAAAGGGCCCCAAGATTAACCATATAGTATTGTCACATGAATATGCACTTTTTTTAGACAGTGCAGTTTTAGAAATTAGAATCCCTTGGCCCTAAACACCTGGGCTGGGATAGTGGTGAAACAAATATTTTCTTGCCAAAAAGTAGAGGAAGAAAAAGACAAAAGAACTCATATTTTAAAAAATATATAGACCTTGCACAAGAGTATTTTATAGTGAGAAGTTCATGGAGAACCTCATGTTCAAGAACTAAAAAATAAGTTCTGAAAAACACTAGCAATTCAGTAACTTGCCTTGCACAAATTATCCAGAGAAGGCCTTTTATACATAGGTGCACCCTCGTACTTAAATATAAAAGAAGTATCAATTACTCTTGGATGGTCTATCTTCAGTGCTGAAACCAACAAAAGGAACAAGTATTAGTACTGTTTAATTGCCACCTGAAAAAGCAAACTCAAATGATAAGTCAGAATCCCCCCCACTTACCTTGCAGGTCATTATTTAAACTGTGACCTACTAAAATAGTTCCATGTGAGAGTAGCTTATTTATAGATTTCTACAAAGGCACAGCATAGCATCAGATAATAACCCATAGAAGATTATTAAAAAAAATTCTGAAAAAACTAGCTAAAAATACCTGTATGTCAGCTAATGAACAAGTAACTTTTTCAATATCTTTGGCAGTAACCCCAGTGATCTCAGTTCTATAATCTGCAACTGCTTTTTTAGGGTTTACATACTCGTCAAGTTTGACCTGAAAGGGTAAATCTCGAATGAAGTTGCTTTCTTTGAAGTAAAATATCCTATGATGCCAAAGACAAATATCCTATGATGGCAAAGTTGAAAATTAACTGTGTTTGTCATGAACCAAGCTCCATCTAAAATTAAAATTCGCTTAATTAGGCCCTCTGCTAGGTTTATGAACATCTAGACAATTCCGAAGGCCCATAGAAAGCTTGATCTTTTTTTTTTGAGGTACAACAGTTAGCCATACATCCTTTCCTCATTTTCAAATGGTGGATAAGCAAATGAAGTTTGAGATTTAATTTATACCTCCAATTTGCGATTCACCACACAAACCCTCACTATAGCTTCAGTGCCATCTTCACAAAGAACCATCTCACAATCAACAGCTATCATTTCACTTGATGTCATACCCTTGGACTTTTTACCAAGCTTTGTTACCACCCATTCCTGCTTCACCATTGGCACAAGGATCATATAATAGATTTTTTTAATAAAAAGAAATGTGATTGACATGCTTTCAATGCACATTATAGTGAATAAGAGATAACAAACCCAAGATTTATTGCAAAGAGGTCATCAATAATGGGCAAGAAAAGGAATGCATTCCAGAGAACTTTATTACTCATAATATCTGAAGAGCATGGAAGAGTATGTCTAGTAATCACATAAATTCCACTGAGTCCACATTCTTAAAATTAGAGCAAAGCATTAAAAATGTATCAGAAACAAATTTAGCAACTGGTAATTCACATGGTGACTCCTACCACAAGTTATATGCTTTTACATCAAGAAATTGGAGAAAGAATACCCCAAACCATGAAGCTGATTCAACTTCTTCAGAACCAAAGCCTAGTCAAAATGAACTTAAACTAAGAGTACAGACTCAGCAATCAAAATAAAATATCAGCTTTAGTAACTATCTAACTGAATCAATTAGCATTTGCTTTGCCAGCAGAACTAGAAATGTAAGAAAAAACGACATCCAAACTGCACACACCCATCAAACAATGCAATCAAATAGCGACTAAACATCAATTAAGCTGATCCAATACTGAATTGGTTGACATCATGAACTAGACTGAGAGAACATGCTTAAAATAATCTAATCGTGCATATGATAACAATAAAACAGTGTACCAAAAAGGGAAAGAATTTAAGGTCTCCCAAGGCTGTACAGGAAAACCCAAAACATGAATTCGGGGTTTTGAAAACTAAATATACACACAACAGTTTCTCTGGACAGCCAAAAATAAAGTCATGATTTCAAGAGTGAAACATAGAAAAATAACATTTCTCTACTTGGCCCCTAACTAGTTAGAGTAATTGTTCAAAGAAGCATATTTAGCCAGTTCATTCTCAGAAGAACCTAGGAAAAACCACACCATATGAATCAATACATACAAGTAACAACAAATAAATTCATAAAAATGAACAAATAGCAGATATTGCGAGACAAACCTCACTATGCGATGGGAAAGTATAGTCTAACGGGTACTGCGGGTGTTCAAAGGTTAAACGGACCAGCCTCTGCACTGCCACCATGACAATCAACAAGAATTATGATGATGTTTTAAATGCAACAATTTTAAGCTTAATCTTATAGGTGATACTCTCAGATAGCTAATATCCTTGTAAATTGCCAAAATCTTGGCACCTTGCTATTTTTGGTAAAATAAACAAGTTGCATGTAGCAACTCTTACCTTATCCTTCTGCTAAAGAGGAAAGAAGTAACCATGGCAGTTTTCTTTTTAGTCCAGTCCCAAATACATGGTAAAACTTTTAAAGACAAAAGGGAGTTACATGTTATCACAAGATTGATATTATCATATAGATGTGCTTGCTAACAGATTAAGATTTCAGGTTTGATGCCATCATAATAAATAACCAAACAGAAGGAATAGAAAATAAGGTAAGAGTACATATGTGTTGCTATCTAGATCAGTCGCCTGCTTACCAACAGTTTGCTTTACAGGGGGAGAGACAAGAAGGAGAACAAAGGCAACCAGTAAGACAAATTCACAGGGGGAGACTAAACCATTTCAAAGTTGACATAAGGAAATAAAGCTTTAGCAGAACATAACCCTAGAAACCTGAAGTAGATCCCTGGTTGAACATAATTAATCATTTAGGTGCTATTTACCATTATGAACAATCAAAAGAAAAAAAAAAAGATGTAACTTGCCAATAATATTAGCAGAATGCAAATGTGCAATTATTGATACCAAAAGATTTAAGTACAAATTACATAAACTAAAAAATATTACCTGCTCAGGGAACTCTTTGTCCGGAGATTCCTTTCTGAATTTTTCCACTATATCACGGTTTGAGTGACATTGCAATATTTTAGCGAAAAACTGAGATGAAGGGAAAAAGGAGTTACACTCTTTATCATTTGAAAGAGGATATACGAGAACGTCTGGCATATAACAAGCACCATTTTACATTATTCGTTACCTTCAAGTCTTGCTGCTCAGTAAAAGTTTTTAGAAAAGATGCCAACACATCGGTGGACCTCTTTGCTGGATCACTTAAGCTAGCCCCAAACTTTCTATCACGACTGTGTAAAAACTCCTTCCACCCCCCATTCGAACCTTTCATTCCCCGTTTTTGGGACAATTTCACAAGATCAACCAAAACCTGGTGAAATTTCAGAATTCAAATAATACGAACAAAAACGTTTACTATCTCAATTTAGCTACACTTGAGAATGCATGTATACTGGTAATAATAAATTCGAACAGCATCTCATCAAGGAAGAAGAAGAAGAAGAAAACTGGGAGCTAAAGTCCCTACAGTAAGTCCAACTAGCAGCGCGACGAAGCTTCAGCGACTGAGTTTACAACTCGACTGACTAGATAGCAGAATCGCCATCCTCAAACATTAAAATATATATCTGACTCATATATGTTTGAGAGAGAAGCTTACCTTTTTCTCGGCAGTATCGAGTTTATGCTCCATGGCAGTGACTCCGGGCATGGAGGGAGACGTTGGAGAACGACTGAACACAAACCAGCTGCTTAAACAGGAGGTAGGGTTTTAGGGAGTTTACCTTCGGGTTTTTCTGCAACAAGACATACTTAATTGGGCTATTCTAGATATGTTCTAATATAGATGGACCATGGAGAAAAAGCTTCGCCATTTTGATTTAACTGGGCTTCGTGATTCGCTTTGTAACAATGGACTGGCCCATTTTCTGGTAATTGGGCTTTTAATTGGGCTTTCTGCTTCGCTTTGTAACAATAGCCCGGCCCATTGTTTGATTAATTGGGCCATCTGCATACGAAGCTGGCCCATTTTGATTTAACTGGGCCTTGTAATAATGGACCGGCCCATCATCTGCTTGATTGGGCTATGTACATAAGAGGCTAGCCCAGTTTTGATTTAATTGGGCTTTCTGATTCCCTTTGCAACAATAGACCGGCCCATCATATGCTTAAATGGGCTATGAACATAACAAGCTAGCCCAATTTGATTTAATTGGGCTTTCTGATTCCCTTTGCAACAATAGCCCGGCCCATCATATGTTAATTGGGCTATGAACATAAGAAGCTAGCCCATTTTGATTTAATTGGGCTTTCGGATTCCCTTTGTCACAATAGCCCGGCCCATCATCTGCTTAAATGGGCTATGAACAGAAGAAGCTAGCCCAGTTTTGATTTAATTGGGCTATGAACATACGAAGCTAGCCCAATTTGATTTAACTGGGCTTTGTAATTCCCTTTGTAACAATAGACCGGCCCATCATCTGCTTAATTGGGCTATCTACATCATAAGCTAGCCCATTTTGATTTAACTGGGCTTTGTAATTCATTTCATAACAACAGCCCGGCCCATCATCTGCTTAATTGGGCTATCTACATACGAACCTAGCCCGTTTTGATTTAACCGGTCTTCGTAATTCCATTCTGGCCCATCAGCTGCTTAATTGGGATATCTACATCATAAGCTAGCCCATTTTGATTTAACTGGGCTTTGTAATGCCCTTTATAACAATAGTCTGGCCCATCGTCTGCTTAATTGGGGTATCTACATACTAACCTAGCCCGTTTTGATTTAACTGGGCTTTGGTATTCCTTTTGCAACAAAAGCCTGGCCCATCAGCTACTTTATTGGGCCGTCTACCTAATAAGCTAGCCCATTTTAATTTAACTGGCCCAACCTCGGATCGTTCGTGAGGAGCATTAAGAATATAATTTTATAATTACTGAAGAAGAAATATTGGACCGACTACCCATTAAGAATATAATTTAGATCAAAGACCAGACTATATATTAATTTCAGTTGATGATGATATTAGTATTTTTAATCTTATAAACTATGTTTTTTTTTTTTTGTTCTTTCGTATTTGGACTGGTAGTTGGATCAATTATATTGTAAAAATTCACTGTTAATCGGTCAATTCTTTTAATACATATATATATATATATGTACGTACGTACGTATGTATGTGAGTATGTATATACATGTACAAAAGAAAAGACTAAAGAAATTATCTTAGTCGTCGATCTCCATCTCTTCCACAGACAGAAAAGTCATCAGTTCCATCGAAGACATATCTTATTCAGTGCAGACAATTCCTAACCACCACCTTATAAAAAGACGATTACAGAGGAGGACTGATGCAATCAAAGCCTCTAGATGTTCTTTCCCAAGTCAAAACTACACTGCGAAACCAAACAGGACGATGATATAATATATTTTCTGATTCTGTATTACGTTTTTAATTATATCATTTACAACAAACCCGAACATAGAAGACCTGGACAAGAACAGTAACACACTTGTTTTCCAGAAGTTGGTCATCATCATGGAAATGACTTCTGGTACAACAACCGAGTTGAGTAATAACAACTTCTGTGCAACTAAACCTAATATCCTGCCACTAAACTCATGCATCAATATTGAGTATTAAGTCTATCCAGTGTCCTGACTGTCTAAATGCAATCAGTATGGATAATACTCTCAAAATTTAGTACCCTCGGTCAAATTGTGGAAACCTGCAGAACCCCATAAGAGATCTGTGCCCGTGTGTGTGTTTTGTACACGGAACATGTATGTATATATGCAGGGTATCATGTAGAGATAAGAGGGAAAAATGTGTGTCAAGATATGTTGTATGCGTGCATGTTTTCTCCATATATGTACTTCTTTTTTCTCTATCATTAATAACACGAAGAAAGAAGAGGAAAATCCTGATTAAGGTTTTCCTTAAACCGCTACTTCCCTGTAACCTTTCCTCTTTCATCTTTAGCAGATCTGTGTAGATCTCTACCATCCGTCGTACAATCTTTTTCTTCATCAAAAGTAATACCCTCTCTGCTCTAAAGTCTTGAATCCTGCAACATTCATGACGATGTAACTAAAAAGAAAAATATATCAAGCACGAGCTAACAATGAATCTCCTTCCAACTTCCAACTGTCAATCCATTCAAAAAAAAGAGAAGTCATCTATGAGCCTAATACTGTTGCAAGGGGAAAATGGATTGTCCCGTCAACAATGAAAGCTGAAAACGGAATCCACTCGATCATCCTCATGGAAATCAATCTCTCCACAAATGAAAAGCAATTCTACAACCGATGGCAATTGTTTCCTAAAAAAAAACAAACTATCAAAGACAAATCTTCACTTTTGACCATCTAATCTTTCATCGTGCAGATAAAGCCAAACAACAGAAAAAATTCAATATATCATGTGCTTACAGAACTCTCAAACAGCAATGTCATACAAAATACAGAACTTAGGTCACCGTAAATACTTTTTAAATAGAAACTGTATAGAATGCATAAACTAATTTTATTCAACAACAACAGTATATGTCATTACAAATCGTCCCATCATGCTGGACGTAAACATGCAGCCACAGATCTAAGAGTGCAGCACAGATGAACCCACCTATCAACAAGAACAGAAATAACAACTGTATATAAGCCATTACATTCTACGTTATAGGGAGAGGCTATATAAGCCATTATAGATCCGGTCAATGTGTGTTAACCTCCCTTAATAGACAAAAAATAATAAACTGCACTTCAGCTAAGATAAAATGTTTACAGTGAACCTGCATGTTTGTAGCATATTTACCCAGTTTGACCATCCATAGACTACTGTCTAATGATCCACAACAGGCTGCAAACTAAGTTTTCAAAGCATCACAAATATGATTCAATTCCAAGATAATACTAAACTCAGAGAGAGGAGGAAAGTAAGATAGAGAGTTCTGGCAAGGGGGAAAAAAAAAGTTAAGCAAGATAAGTCATATGTATTTCAGTATGGATGCCCCTTACGTCCTCCATTCAGAAGTCAAACTTCATTAAAATAAAAAAATAAAAAATGGAGATGTAAAGCAGGCATGAATCAATAGTGGTTCATCCCATTAAAATACAAGACGACAAGAACTACGAGATGAAAGCCAGAAATTTTTAACCAATTCACGAGAAACATCACTTATAGGTTGACATTGTAACCATCATCAATGTTGGATCACCTTCTGAGAGTGCATGCCAATGAACTCCTACCAGCTAAAAACCCAAACTTCGTCCTAAACATTGCTACTCTGCCATTCCCACTTGTGGAAGCTTGGCTAATCACTGATGAAAGATACTCCATCCCGCCTTCCTGTACTCCCCCATCGCTACCACTAGCATCCCGGCCATCAAGCTCACCACCATCCATGTTGATAACCAAGGACCCCCTTCGATCCCTCAACCACTCTACAACTTCACCACTCACTGCCCTGCATTTCCTGACTTTAACTTTGACCAAATTGGGACAACCCCAAGCAAGAGCCTCAATCCCAATATCCGAAATAGGACATCCCTTGATACAAAGCTTCTTCAGTGCCACGGATTTCGCGGCAATACAGGCAAGCTCTGCGTCGCCTATCGTTCCACTCCCGCACAGCGCCAATCTTTCCAATTTCGAACAACCAGAAGCAATTGCCGCCAGGCTCAAATGCGTGGCATTGAGACCAATCAAAACGAGTTCCTGCAAATTAAGGCAGTGTTTGGCAACAGCCATCAAACCCTCGTCATTAATTGTATTAGTCCTCCATCCATCAATGTGAAGCTTCCTTAAAAGCTTACAACGCTCGGCCACCGAAATAAGCCCCGAGTTTGAGCATTCTGGGGTTTTCACGATATGCAAATTCTCAATATTTGGACATTTGGATATCGCGGAAAGTCCCTTATCGCTAACTTGAAGTCTTTCTAGGTGAATTTCGGTTAGCGAAGTGTTTCCATCTCCATTTCCAATCATATCAAGTACCTTATCCCAATAACCCAAACAGCGAATTATTTTCAAAGTTTTGAGTTTCTTCGATCCGATTACTAGTGGCTCAAAAGACTGACCATTAACAAGCTCCTTCAAGCAAATTGATTTTAAAGACGAAGTGGCAGCACCCGGACCGATTGGCTTTGCTCCATCACGGATTCCTCTGAGCCGATTTACAGACAACTCCTCGAGAATCGTGCAGTGATCGAGCACAGCGTTCAAGGCTTTGGCGCCGAACATACACGAGACACAAGAGAGCTTCTTCAAAGTTTTGCAGTTCTGAGCAAAGGTTGCCATTCCGAGATCAGTGACTTCCCTGCAGCCACGAAGCTTGAGGCGCGTTAGGTTTTGGCAACGGATGGAAATCAGAATCAATGCGTCGTCGTTTAAGCTGATGGACTTTCGCTCGCATCGGAGAGAGAGTTTAGTGACAGAATCAAAGCGCGTAAAAAGAGAAGGCAGCGAGGCTAGAATCTCGCTCTTAGCGTCGAGCGACAGCCTTTGGCGGCTCTGGCCGTCAACTCGGAGCCACCGCTTGCAAACGATCGAGCATCTTTTCCGATCGCCGGAACCTAAGAACTGGAAAATGTAAGCCAAACACTCATCGGGAATACCGTCAGTGTAATCCCCCTCCTCAACGATTTTCTCCGCAAACTCCACCGACTCACCACCAGCAATTGCCGTATACCAAATCCCCAAAGCACCGCCCCCGTGACACGTATCTACAGCACTAGACGACGTCTGTCCCATCTTCTTTCGGCTACCTCCACGCGCCACCAAGGAAAAAAAAAAAAAAAAAGAAAGCACAAACGGAAGCTTTTGTAAAAGTAAAACCACTTACAACGTCCTTGCCATATGCTTCCCACTAGGGTTACAGCTTAAAGGTGCTTCTTCCTTGTTCCTGAACTGAAACAGAAGCGATTATAACTAGGTGAGGAGAAGGCGAGGGGAGTCCACATATGAAGTTTAGACCCCGTCAAATAGGGGATGCGTGTCCTCGTCGCTATCGGCACGGCCGACTACAGATCAGATCAGATACACCTGGCCGTCACGAACGCGGTTCTTAAATTGAAACAACATATGACCTTGCGTGTCGTTTGATGCCCGATAGAACTGATCCCAGCCGTCGAATTTGATGACCTGGAACCCCACACTTTAATATTTTTACCTTGGAAGGAGTTAAGAATACTTAATTCTGGTGTGAATACTAGTACGTCACCAATTACGGCGTTCAACTCCCAACTCCCAAACACGGAACAGTGATTAATCATTTCCTTTTGGGCCCACTGGCTTTGAGATTTGGTCCCCGAGTCATTACACGTTTATGGCCGGGCCGGGCCGGTCCGGGTCGGGCACCGCCCCGGTTTTTACAAAAGAAAGCTGGATCTCATAATTATTGTGGCCGAATTATAATTTTTGAGTAATTATTCCTAACGACGACAAGTAACTTCTCAAAATATCTTTTCATAATTTAATGTTTAAATTTATAAAAAAATATTTTAATTCATTTATTATTTTATATAGAGTTTTGAAGTTTTAATTAAATATGTAATTTTAAAAAAAAATTAAACTCAGTAATGGTATGTAAAATTTTAAGTTCTACATTCTTCCATATTATTTTAAAATATATGTACGTAAAATTGACAAATTCAGATAACAGAATAATTGAATTTGGAATTTTACCAAACAAATTTGCAGTCTTACTTAATATTCAAATTTCAACCCCCAATAAAATGGTCAAATACGTTTTGACAGACATTTGTATGTAAATCCCGAACATAATATATTTTAATATTGTAATAAACAATAATTCAATATTTAATCTTTAATTTATATTAGGTAGAATTGGTAATAATATAAAAATATATCGCGTATAAAATAATAATAATAATAATAATAATATAAATAAATAAATTATTTAAGTTGAAATCGAACCACACCAACTAATTTAGTCATTTGATTATTTAATTAGACGTGAAATTCGGGCCAAATTTAAATTATTTGACTTTAAAAAATTTAAAACAAAAATTACCAAAAAACCCCAGAAATTATATATTTTTTTTATTATTCTCTCGGAGAATAACCAATCTAATTAGAATCAAACCCAATTAAGAATGAACTTCTATAATATCAACGGTTCAAAAATATTATTTATTATTAATTACGTTCTGATCGCACGATCACGATTCATATATTATATTTAAGATTTCGTCCGTTTAAAATACAAAAATACAGGAGTACGGACTTATAGAACAAATCTTTCTCAATTAAGGTCGTCTATCGGTGAAGCATACCCTCGTATCTAATTAGTTAAGTATATTATATTAATTTCTTATAATAGAATCGTCAAATTTTTTATTATTATTATTTTTTTTTTGGTAATTAGCAAATTCATTAAATCTAGAAATTCGGGCAAGGCCCGGCCCGGAAATGGAGCTAATTAGCTTCTTATATTGGGCCACAGACCGACTGAAGAGGAGTTCTGGGAGATAGTATATATTTCCCCAACCAAATTACTGTGATTTGGTTAACCCGAACCGACCCGTAACCGTTTATTTTTTAATATATACATATATATATATATATATTTGTATCGACGTGTAGGGTTATAAGTTCATATATTGTTAAGAAAATTAGTAAGTTTATAAGTAAAGTATATTATTTATATTTTAATTATTTTATAAGTACTTAACCATAATATATTTTCATTTAAAATATTTTTATACACCCAAAAAAAGCATGTTTTTTTTTTATATTATATTTATATGTATAATTTTCTATAGTTTCTCATAGTTCCAAAATTAAAGGCATTGAATCAGACGTATAAAAAGTCACCGCTGTAAAAGAAAGAGGGAGGTGCAGTAAATAATTAAGCCTCTTTCTGTTATTTTTCCTTTTTCACTTTTCTTGAGTTGGTGAAAGTTGTGTTTGGCTGGACAACACTCCTCTTTTCACTTTGACACCACCTCCATCAACTCCCTCTCATCTCTCTCTTTCTCTGCCTCGCAGTTCGAGCCATCAAAAGAAAAGCAGACTGTATAAATATATAGGTGTGTATTATTATATAAAAAATTTACTAGAAACAAACCACTTTAACACGAACGATTCATCTCTTTACACACAGGAAAATACAGGGAGTTCTCTCTCTCTCTCTCTCTCTCTTGTTCTTGCTTTTTTCTCTGCTGCCAAACATGCACGCAGACTGAGTAGCTCTTTATCGTGAAAAGAAAGCAAAAGAGTTGCTACGACAAGAGCTCAGACTACCTTTTATTAATGGAGACTGGAGAGTGTGAAAACTGACCATCTGCTGCCTTATTAAGCTATTGTTTTTCAAGAAAAAAAGACATCGGAAACGACGGAAACAGAATCTACCTATCGGATATGATCTCTCTTTAACCTAAAAAAAAGATATAGTCGTCCGCTTACATACATATATATATATATATATATATCTCAGGCGTGTATATACATATTTATGCGACAGATATATATATATATATATGTGCGACGGATACATATTTCTGCTTTTCATGCCATCGGAAATCTGGCGAGACACAGTTATAAAGTTCACATTTATTTTTACCTTTTGATTTCAAAATTTTGGAGGACAAGTCAAATGGAAAAAGGAAAGTAGTACAGTAACAAGTTTCCAACTTCGGGAGTAAATATTACTGTTTAAACATTATTATATTATATTATTTTAAATATATATATTGTTTTTCTATAAAATACAATATTTTTTTATTAAAAAAAAATTATCCAATTTTTTGAATATGCAAAAATTAATATTTTATAAAATATAATTAAAATAAAATTACTTGTTAAAGCATGTGTGTCATAATTGGTGCCGTCTTGTCTGGCAGATTACAAACGCCGTACGTTGCCTTTCGCGTCTCTCCGTCCTCCTCCGTTCCTTTCTTTTAATACTCCGTTGCTATTTCTGTGTATTATACGTTTTTGCAGCCACCAACTCATACTTTCCTCTTTTACCATCACTCTTATTTTCTACATCAACATATATAAATATAATACACACCCATATTTTTATATATATATATATACTTATACATTTAATTCATAGTATTTGTTTTATATTTTTTTAGTTTCGGGTTTATTAATAATGGTCAATCCTCAAATTGTATCAACAAAATTCAGATAAAAATACTCAAAATACACTTACCAACTATGATATATTCAAATTTGTAATAAAGTTTGTATATAAATTTACATTTTATTTAATCACCCATATAAAAGCTTGCATGAAATTATAACAATACATTATTAAATTCTTATAATTTATATTTAATTTTTTTCAACACAAATCCATTTATATTCGTGTTAAATTACAAAATTTTTTCATTAATTTTTAATATAATTATATAGTCTCGACCTATTTTATTTTGGGTCTCTCCACTATAATTGCACTATAACTTTCGTGATCTAAATATTTGAAATTAAATAGAAAAATGGTAATAATTCAAGGTCAATATCAATGTGCTGGCACGACATGGATCGTCCGATCATCATTACACTTAGAAGCTCTTTTAACATAATTATTACCGTCATTATTAAATTTTTTTTTTTACTGACCGTAATTAATGTCAACGGGTTAAAATTGGAAATTAAATAATTAATAATTTATTTAAATAATTTATTATTTATTATCTTTTTTTTTATTTTATTTAATCTATGAAGATGGTATTGTACCTTACATGATTAATGTCCTATCGTGTACTTGATGAATTATTATCCTCGTGGGTAAAGGCAAAGCTTCTTATATATAATTAGATGTTCGTATAAATTAATAATTTACTTGTTTTTTTTTTTTTCTTATTAAGTTAATTAATTTTAATTTAATTAATTAATACAGCTATTATACATGTTTATATAGTTTTATTATGCACGTAGACTAATATTTATTATTAATAATGATAATTGCAACACTAATAATAAAATAACTTCGTATGTATTAAATAAAATAAAATATTATAATTATTAATTATTGAATAAAAATTATATATATATATGTTCAAAATCTTATTTAACTCTTCAAGTAATTAGTTTGCTACAATACTTTTGTATAATATATGCATATAACTATTTGAAATATTATAATATTACATAATAAGTAATTAATAGGTCAATTTATAATCCGTGTGTACAAGGGTGTCTACCAAAATTTATAGACAAAATTCATATTATTGTATATTTATAGTATAAATTTAAAAATATTTCGTATTTGTTCTTATCGTTTATTAATTAATTATAAGTTTTAAACTTATTTATTTTAAAATATTTTGTCATTAAATATGTTATTGTAAATTTGAGTATATGAGTACTATTTTGTAACTATTGTATATTGATAATTATTAAAAATTATAATATATTTTAAATATATATTTATATAAATAATAACATAATTTATTAATAAATACGTAAATATCGTGAAACAAAAGATTTATAACTATAATTGAAATATCAACATTCACATTTTTCTTGATAATTTTTAAGAATATGTAAATTTAAATTATAAATTTATCAGATACGTGATAATTTATTAGTTTTTTCAAAAATTTATTGCACTTTGGTCAAATGTTATAATTTTAAAATTTATTAATAATGTATAGTTTATAATATTGTATGTATATTATAAAGTAAAGGTGATTGATTTATAATAATTGATTTGGAAAATAAATAATTTATTCATAAGTGTTTATAAAAATTTACGGGTTGGATTTTTTTATAAAAAAAAATATAACGTATAGTGAATAATGTGATTATTCTAAATTTTGTTAATGAAAATTTGATTAAATTAGGAAACAAGCAAATACAAATAAAAACAAAAGAAAAAAAGGCAGAGGAAACCAAGAAAAGACAGGCAGGGGAGACAGAAGTCTTTTGCTCTTCGACTTCCTCGTTTGTTTCCAATGCCAACTTTCCTTCCTCGTTCCATTGCAACCAACTTAACACGACCTGTCCCTTCTCTACTTCCTCTCAACTTCTTGTCTCTCTTAATAATAATAATAATAATAATAAAATCAAAACTATAACTTTATAAATAAATTATTGGCGTATTTTTACGAAGCTTATTTATTATAAACATAATTATGTTGAGTGCAATAAAAAAAAAAAGTAATAATTGGCTAAGTAAGAAGGCTGGTATTACGTGCATAATTAAATAATTATTACCAAAAAATTTAAGATAAGAGTGCAAATATAATCAAAATAAGACTTTATAGGTTGGACCACAGAATCTATAAAAGCAAAAAACACTGCCTGTCATCCTGTTGACAGTATCACACTTTTGATTTGTCCACGTGTACTCTGTCATGAAAACTACGACACCGCCGGTGTTGTTATCAGTTGCTCCGAATTGTTTAAACCGAAATAAATATTATTTTATTGTATAAATTTGATTTTTAAAGAAGATATCTCTGCTTCCCAAACATGACAATTCCCCGTTTTTAAGCGGTCAACGCTTTTATTCCGATCGAGAGTTTCTTCACTACGGACACGAAGCGCGTGTTTTCACGTTTCAATCGCAGTCTCAGAAACCTTCGGCATGCGACTCTGAATTGCTCAGATTTTGGAGCGTGTAGTACAGATCGAACGAGAGAGTGGCGCCGAAGTGTGGTAGACTGTCCTAATTGATCTGAGAAAAAAAAAAAGTCCGAGGGGCGATAAGTATTATCGTGTTGTTATTTTCGTGGGAAAAAATAATAGGATTTTGGTTTTCTCGGTGAGTCACTCGCGTGCTGTTACATCAATTTTCTCGCGCGCCAAAGAGCCGAAAAAACCTTTTCCGGATATTAACAAAAGAAAAAGAGAAATAAAAAATTAAAAAAATTATTAGGAAAAAAGACAAGCGTGAAGGGTTTCTCAGATAAAAACCCTTCGCTTGCTCCCAGTGTCCGTCCCTCTCTCTCTCTCTCTCTCTCTCGCACCCACACTTCCGTTTCCGCTTTTCTCTCTCCTGCTCGCACCAGGGTCCAGAGAGAGGAGGTGAAGGGATTGGACATGGGCCCGATGAGGTTGGGAATCGGTGCTTTGATGATATAATGAGCAGAGGATCCAAATCTCTTGTTCTTCTTCTCCGAGGAGGATGGCTCTGCACGAAGAAGATGCTCAGCAGGTACAAAGCCCGGGTCTGGTTCTCGACGGGCTTTATTGCGAGGAAGAGGGTTTTGAGGACGATCTAGTAAGGTTTGCTGATTCAGATGATTTGAGTGAAAAATGTGATGAAACTGCGAAAAAGGAGTCATTTTTGCCTTTCGTTTTGGTTGACCATGACTTTTTATGGGAGGATGATGAGTTACTGTCGTTAATATCTAAAGAAAAAGAGATTCATCTCTGTTTCCGCAATCTAATCTCAGATGGGTTTCTGGTCTCAGCGCGTAAAGAAGCGGTCGATTGGATTTTTAGGGTAAAAGCACATTATGGGTTCACTGCTTTGACTGCTGTTCTTGCTGTGAACTTCTTCGATAGGTTCATTTCAAGCTTGAGATTCCAAAGGGACAAGCCATGGATGGGTCAGCTTGTTGCTGTGGCTTGTTTGTCTTTGGCTGCGAAAGTGGAAGAGACCCAAGTGCCACTCCTGTTAGACCTTCAAGTATGTATGATATACAAAATTGCAGTCTGGGTGTTTGTTAAAATGCCTGTCATTTTATTTGTTTCTTGGACTTCGTTTCCCGAGTTAATCAAATGTGGTGCCTTCCTTTTGTTTTTGCTGTGGCGCTTAGGTGGAGGAATCCAAATATGTCTTTGAGGCAAAGACTATTCAGAGAATGGAGCTTTTGGTCCTGTCTACTCTCCAATGGAGGATGAATCCGGTTACCCCAATTTCATTCTTTGATCATATTATTAGGAGGTTTGGATTGAAAACCCACTTGCATTGGGAATTTATGTGGAGGTGTGAGCGTTTGCTTCTCTCCGTAATTGCTGGTAAATAATCCAAAAACCCTTTCCTTTATGGCTTATAAATGACTATAATCCAAAGCTTCTCCTTTTCAGCTTATGAATGAGTTGAGATATCTTCTATTCTCTGCATTTTGATGAAACGAAAATGTTCATTTAAATTATCCAATTTCGTTTTTGTTCTAAAATTCGTCATTCTTGACTTGTACATGGATCCCAGATGCAAGATCTATGTGTTTTCTTCCCTCCACCCTTGCTGCTGCTACAATGGTATATGCCATTAGAGAAGTTGGGTCAAGTAATCAAGTGGAATACCGAAATCAGCTCATGGCTGTACTCCAAGTCCCTGAGGTTTGGTCTAATTACTGACACTGTTTCCGTTTCTCTTTTGTTATAATTGGTTTTGGAATTTTAAAGGAAGCTACGTCTTTGTACAGGACAAAATAAACGAGTGTTACAATCTGGTCCTAGAAGTGTCTGGCAGCCATGGCAACCATAGCCAAAGCCACAAACACAAGCATCTGTTATTACCTGCCAGCCCTCTTGGTGTCACGGAAGCATCCTTCAGCTCTGATAGCTCGAACGACTCATGGGCTGTGGCAACTTCTGTGTCATCATCACCTGAGCCTCTGTTCAAGAGGAGAAGATTACAAGAACAGCAGATGCGATTGCCTTCTCTCAATCGTATGTTTGTGGATGTGCTTAGTAGTCCTCATTAATCTTCCCTTTGTCCAAGTATCTAGTATTGAACCTGTTATATTATGATCCATCTCTTACATATTACTATCGGCAGAATGGTTATTAAGATTCAATCATTTTGTGTTGCATGATTACTTTTGCCTTTCCTGTCCAAAGTTGTTAAATTGAATCAGACACAGATGGAAATTGGAGAATCCGCTAAGCACCTCTACAATTCTGGTGAGGTGGGAGTTTGAGAATGCAAAAGAAACGATGTTACTTTCTTTTGGTCTCTCCTAGAGTACAGTTAATCTTATGCTACATGTATTTGTGCTGACGTGAATAGACCTATACAAGATAAACATGGTTTGCAAGCATTACAGTTAATTCTTTGCCTACTGATATTGTCATCTTTGGTAACAATATAAGTATGGATGGTGACCATATGGTTGTTTCTCTAGAATGAACAAATTGTGAATTTGAAGAGTTTTGACGGATCACAGGTGAATGACAAACTGGACCCTAGATTTAAAATTTAGGCTATTAGGTATCTTTCTTCTGCCATCAAGAATCAAAGATTCACCCTTGTGATTTAACGTATGGATTTCTGTTATTCCTGAGGCCATGGCACATCTCTAGTAATTTATACAGCTCATATGCTATCGGCAAATGTTTTTTCTGCCTTAATAACTTTGTTTTTATGTCATTTGCCAATACAATTTTCGATGTCTTCTGGCCTTCTACAAATGGTGATCTAGAATTTCTGTCATTTTTGATACGTTACAAGCATTCTATCTGTATATATCACTCTTGATTTGTGATTCTAGTATGTACCTGGATATGGATGTTCGATGATCTGGTTTAAATAGAAAACCAAATAGGTACAGGATCTTATGTACATGGTATTGAATAGTTGATATAGTCATGTTTTTGTGTATGACTTTGATTGTTGGATCACTCTCTGCAAACAGTGTAGGTTTGGGAATATAGTTCCATTTTTAACAAGCACCTTCATATACATAAACATAATATTAATATTTAATCAGTAAGAAAGGACAAGAGGAAATATGTTTTCATTTTGGTCCTCAGTTTTTAGGCATTTGAAACATGAAGTTGATTGAATGAGATAGGGATCCTTTGGTTTATTACTTGTACCATTTTAAGCTCATACCAAAAGTATTGCTACATCTTGTTGTAAACAGTAAAAAACTGTGTAAAATTGAACTCAACAGTAAGATTCACATTACTCACTAAAATTAGTTCGATTATAAAAAAGATATACTTCTTCACAATGAAGAAAAGATAAATAACAAAATGCATAGAGTATAGATTTACTATAGGAGATGTATGTTGTGGTCCTCTTTCTTGGTCTTATTCCTATAAATATGAAATGGATTGGCATGTCTTCCTGAATCAATTCTCATGTGTTTGAAAATACAGAGAGGAGATTTCAATGGAACAGCTAAGGTAATGGGACCCCTCAATAATAATTCACCAAGTAATGGTAATTGAATCCTAGTTATAAATGATTTAGGACTTTTGCTGGTTTCCTAACTCACCAGAGGTTCTTTAAAATAGTTTCATTTCAATCTCGAAACATATTATTGTCCTTTTAGGTCATTAAAGGAGTGGAATAATCAAAGATTTTCACCCCCAGAAAAATTATTAACAAATTGGTCATCAGTCGTTTAGGGTTTTTGTTCTTCCCCTGCTATAATGGTTGTTAGGAAGGTCTATTGAAAGCCAGATTCAGAGGCAGATGGATGCATCAGACTTTTATTAGATCAAATAATAAATTCTAATTCTACACTTAGGTATGTGTCATTATTGCTCTTATAAATAAGGTTTTTCAATACAGGAGTTTTTAACCTATTTTGCAAATAGTAAGTTTGAAAAAATACATCAAAGCATAAACAGAGTTACCTTCTCCTCACCCTTCATAATTTTCAGTGTAAATACATTTTAATTACATAATAATAAAACTATTTTGAATAGAAAAATTATAAATTAGTTAACAATAGAATAGAAAATAAATCAAATCAGAACTATTTCTTGCTTTCTAACAATCAACTAAGTGACAATACTAGTGAAAACCATCAACCCACATCCTCAATTTGTTTAGGTCAAAATCTTTCTTATTATATAAGAATCTGTACATAATATATACGTATATATTTTATGTATGCAGCAGAAAATCAGGACCAGACGACGAAGAAGCATGAGTTGTTTTGTCCTTGGTCTGGAGGGGAGATGAGCTAGGGAAAGAAGAGAAGGAGAGGTGGGGTGGTTGAGTTTGAAGACAAAACTGCACAACAGGTTAAAGGTGGTGTGTATATATGTATATAATATATATATATATATATGTATGTATGTAATGTAACGTGAAAATTTTGTATGGTACACATGTGAGAGAACAGATCAAAGAAATTGTTGAGGAGAACAGCTAAGGAAAAGGTTTGTTTTGAATTAGTTTGGAAGAAATGGTCAAAACAGGGTTTACTGCTTTTTTTAATTGTTTTCTTATTCAAAGGATGAAATTGGAATATATCTGTGATATCTGGTTCTTATGATTCTCTGCTTTCATATCCAGTGAAAAACAGAGTAGCCCCAGAAGAAATTTCACTATGTATGTATATAAACTTTCAGTATAAAAACAAAATTAAGTGTTTTATTATATTCCACACCAAATTCATGTAAGATTATAGTTGCACTGTTGGATTTCAAATGTATTTTTTTAGTTTCATTTGGAATAAATTCTTATAATTTTTATGAAAAATTTATAAAAGAATCTGTTGCAAGAAATCACACAGGAAGTTTCCTGTTCATTTGGTTGTGTATCGTGTCTGAAAACTCTAAGAAAATTGTCCAAAAAATCAGCTCTCTCTGATATGTCGTACAGCAAAATTGGCTTGGCTGAAAAAGAGACCTGTAAAACTGTAGGACCCCATGAAAGATGTACCCTGCAGAATTAGGGATACCCTTTGAAATTAATCCCATCCCCAAGAATTCTCTTAGCTGGAATTTGACTGAACCAGTGATTGACCTCAAATAAAGATGCCAGCTCTCACCTTACAATATTTTCTTCTAGGTACAAGTTACCAGACAAACGATATTTATATATCAGTTGCAGATACCCATTTTACCAAATTCAAACAATATGTCAAAAGCAAACACCTCCCATTTTTTCTTTTTTTCTCTGGGTTAAACTCATCTTCTTCATGTACAGCTCCCAGCTGCTGCTCTAACATCTCTAACCCTAATAATTATTAAGTCAACATTCTTCCAATCTTATCTCCTTCTACATTACACTTCACATTTTACATCATTTCAACGTTTTCTAATCAATTATTCTCTGACCTAATAATTTCTTTCGTAAATTTAATATATATATATATATATATGTATAATGTATGCTAGTCTGTTAAACGACAAGGCATGCACATTTTCTTAACCAGAGAAGACCAAGAAATGTAAGAACTTCCCAATCTAACCAAAAGGGTATGCAGTGGTTTAACTCCTACATTATTTTGTCAACAACAACCTTACCTAACAGCAAAACCTAAATTGATGATTTTTCATTTTTCTTTCCTTTTAAATATTTATTTTCTTTATATATACACACACATAAATCCTTTTTCTGCAGCTTTAACTTTATACATATAAATATATATGTATGTATCAAACAGTGTTGGTAAGTTAAGGTATTGAATTTTCTTGTCTCATCAAGACTGTAACCCAAGTACAATGGACTATAATTTTCCTCCAACACAAACACAAAAAATCTTTCAGCATATATTTTCTGTGACTAAGAAAGCCTCATGGGAATTCGCCTAGGGTTCCATTTCTCACACCAAGAAAATCAAACTTCTTCCTCAGTACTAATGCTGTGGAATAGTACACAAACCTTTTAAAGTTAGTCACACTGGTACTTTTGATTTTATATATAGCTAGTACACACCATATGTGTTCCATGTTTGTATACGTAGGTACCTCACATGGAAAAATTACAGTAATTGACGATCGTATTTACTGAAAATTTATCAAGCACATTAATATATATGCTTCATTTTAGTGATGGTGGAAGTTTTTACTCATTAGGTAAGTTTTTTGTATCGATATAGAGATGGGTATTTGGTGCTGACTGGAGATTAAGCCTGCAAACAAAGAAGAGACAGAGATTTTTACATTAGTTTATGATTATATGTTACTATTGGTAAATTTTTTTTTTACTAAGCTTATCTTACCTTGCTGGAGATATTGCTAGAGAGCCAATCAAGGCCTTCATAGAGTCCTTGGCCGGAGGAAGCACACGTAGCCTGAATGTACCTGTACAAATCAATTCCAAGGTTTCATAAGTTCAAAAAAATAAACTTGATCGAAACATCTCAGGAAGAACATATAATATCTGGGTTCCGTCCATAATCAATTACCGTTATATAAATCAATCAACACGAAACTAATTTAAGTGAAATTACTAATCTTTTATTTTCTTACCAACGACGTTGGCGGAGTGAGTGGAGGCCAAGTTTATCGGTGATTTCCGAAACGGTCATTGCATTTGGTAAATCTTGTTTGTTAGCGAAGACAAGAAGCGTTGCATCACGAAGTTCATCCTTCAAAAACAAGTAGTTTGAAAATTAGTAGTAATTTTTGTATAAAGATTAAAATAGTTCAATCAATCGGAAAAAGATGAAACCATTTGAACAATACTCACCTCTCCGAGCATCCGATGGAGCTCGTCTTTAGCTTCTAAGATTCTTTCTCTATCGTTGCTGTCCACCACAAAGATTAAACCTTGTGTATTGTAAAAGTAATGTCTCCACAGTGGTCTAATCTATATAATTACAAAGTCATAGAACATGTTAAATTTTGATGGTTAGCTTGGGCTACAAGTAAATCAAAACTTTGATGATTGAACACAGAAATATCATATATGATTTACCTTATCTTGGCCTCCTACATCCCACACAGTAAAGCTAACATTTTTATACTCCACAGTCTCCACATTAAATCCTACTCAACAGAAATTTTGGTTAATCAGCATCTAAAGTTAAATACAACAGGTGTTATTCCTACTCAATAATTTTCTGTATATTATAACTTGTTAACTACGAGCCAAACCCTGCAAACTAAATCTAAACTGTAAAAATATTTAAGATGAAAGATAAAAAATTGAATGGTGTTTCACTTTTGACGATGTCAAGTGGGTCAATCACTAGTTATAACTTTAGAACATAGAGATGATTACTGTCATGATTGATTAAAAGTACACAAGATCAAGGATCATGGTGTAAAATTAACTGCAGTACACGTATATGTATGCATGTATACCGATGGTGGGAATGGTAGTAACAATCTCTCCAAGTTTGAGCTTGTAAAGGATTGTTGTTTTGCCAGCAGCATCAAGACCCACCATTAGAATTCTCATTTCTTTCTTTGCAAAAAAAATTCTCACCAGTCTGGATATAGCTACACCCATTTCTGTCACCACCAATTCAATACCCAAAAAATATGGACAAAATTCCAAACACAAAACAAGAGAAAAACCAAAACCCAAAACAAAACAAGAAAGAAACAATCTTACCCACTTAAAGTATTCTATTCCCCAGTTATTATACTTATAAAAACAGACCAGAAAAACCTTGGAGCAACTTATGATGAAGATTACTTTACATATTCTTTAAGGGATGGAGTAAAGAGAGAATAGGATTCTGATGAAGATAGAAAAGAATAAAGGACGATCTCCATAACTTTGTTTTTAGTTCGGGCGGTGGTCATTGAATTTTGAAACTGTGTGACGCCTGGAATGCCAAATTGAGCAGTGAGGGTCCCAATTTTTTGCACAATGGATGGTTTATCTTTTCGAATTTTTAGCAGTGAATTATTCTTTAGAAAAGATTAGGAATAATATTCGGACTAAATGTTTTCCGGAACGATTTTAAAGAGCCGAATCAGAATTTGATTTATAAAGTTTCAGTTCTTGAATTCAAAATATAAAGATTAATTGAAAAAAAAAATGGTATAAAAATGTTGGACTTCTTTAAGATTTTTTATTTGGTCTTATAACTAAATAACTTATGTATCATTCATTACTTAGAGATGGCATCCATGGCAGATTGAAGGGTGGTTCCATAGCTGCTGCAGGTCCAGCCAAGACACCACCACTGCGGTCATGGTTTTCTTGGGGATGAGGTTGGTGGATCACCTCCGCTATCCTCTTCTCAACACTCTTTCCAGCAGATGATGATCATTCCTGCGCTCCCCTAAACTACTTTGTCCCTCAATAGTTTCAGTTACCTCTAATACAATACAAAATTTTATTTTTCAAAATCTAAAAATGAAACAAAAAAAGAAAAGGCTTCCTCTATTGTATGAAAATGTTTTTAAATTTTAAAATTCATATTTTTAATATAATATGCATAATAATTTAAACTGTTTTTATGTTTAGAGAACTATAAACAGTAAAAAAAAACTACCTCATATTTATGTTAAGATTACTTACTTTAAAATGATTGATGATTAACAGCTAATCATCAATCCGTTGTCGTCCAGCGGTTAGGATATCTGGCTTTCACCCAGGAGACCCGGGTTCGATTCCCGGCAACGGAACTTTACATCTTTTTAAATTTTTACCATCACAGACTAAAGATATGACTAAATATTATATGGCCGTCGAGATACCTTGTGTATTGTCAATAACCATATACGAAGCCTATATATAGTATGTATTAAATCTATCAATAGGAGTCTATAAAAATTATATAATCATTTTTCACTTGGTTGCAAAGAATAACTTGATAAAAAAAACTCATTACAATTCCATTCATCTCAAGAAGGTAGATCATTTGAATTTAACCCGTAAAACGAAAATTTACAAAAATTAACCTTGTTTCCCCAAGAATAAGCTGTATCCCATCAAGACCAACTAAACAAAACCAAATTTACCACAAAATCCCAAAAGCAAGACCATTGTCCGCAACCCCACCAAATCCATTCCATCCTACTGAAGTACTAACCGACTACTAGGGTTCTTTCTATGGAAAATATGGCCGCGACTTGCAATTGGTATCACCACCTAAAACAGCCTTGATGAGAAAAATTAACATCTGAAGGGTTTATAAAGATTACCGACCAACTGAACCAACTAGCTATTGAGGGTTGAAAGCATGCCTCCGCTTGCTGTTGGTATCACCACCTCCCAACCAGGTCCTTTGAGGGGAACCGAATGGCCAGTAGTTTCGGATTTCTCTTTGTCAGTAATCAAGTCACTACGATCAAGAATCCTATCCAAATCTTCGTCACTAATATCCGTCTGTATCAGTTTGTCCTCTTCGGTTTCTACATCTCGGAGCAATGCCAGTAAATCCTCTTCCTGAAATTTTAGGAACCAAAGATGAAATAAGGAGTGAAGACAAGTAAAATAGCAGCTGTTCACACCAAATAGAATAAGAGATCATTACCTCCACAATGGGATTCATTGTAGACTTGGTCCGTTCTTGGTGAAACTGTCCCTTACCAATCACGACATGTTCAAGCTTCAACTTACTAAATGCCCTCTTCAAAATGCGTCCCTGTTAACTTAAATTTATATATTAAATTCTATTCCATTCCTAAACACCAAATAACTTTCAAGAGCCAGAAAAATTTAAAAAAAAAAAAGGTACGGGCTTAGATTGGAACTACTGTGAAGAAATATTTCTTTTCTAAAAAGGTATAGGCTTTTAATTGTTATTGATTAAAGTTGCTGTTATCAAAAGTAGTTATTATATTGGGTAAGTGCCCTCTTCAAAGTACGTAAATATCCCTTAAAATAAATTTTGTTGCTTTGAAAAAACAACCATGTAATTGTTTCCAAAACAGCTAACTTTGTTTTTCAATTGAAAAAATTTGAAATAAGCAATTACAAATATATCATCAAAGATAAATTGTTTAAAAGTAAGATTAAGCTTAAAAAACAGCCCAAAAAGTTTCAACAGATAGAGCAATAGGCACCCTTAATACCTCAACTGACTGAGCTGTTGCAAGCCTGTAGACATGGACAGGCTTTGTTTGGCCAATCCTATGGCATCTATCCATGGCCTGCAAATCCATTTGAGGATTCTGGAATACACATGACAGTATTAATGAAGATATTTAGAATTTGAGAGACAAAGGAACTCAAAGGTGAAGGGATTAAGCAAATACCCAGTCGCTGTCATAAAGTATACATGTATCAGCAGCAGTGAGGTTAATACCCAACCCCCCAGCCCTAGTGCTAAGAAGAAATATCCTGTAGTTACTGTTCTCATTGTTAAATTCTTGGATCTGTTTTCAGAAAAAAAAGCCAAATAAAAATGTAGTCCATGAAGCTTCAGGACCGACTACACAACCAGTAAGCAGTACTAGGATACAGGAAAGGGAGGAAAAAGAAACCCACATTCATCAAAATAACCAGAAAATGTCTTGCTCAAAAAAACTCCATCTCTAACTCAGTGATTTTCAACAAAAATGAAGATGATTATGCCAACAGTGGCATCCAACAAACAAACAAGTGAACAAATTGCCAAGGAACAATCTGCCATATGGCAGGGATATGATTAATATGCAAAACATTAAACATCAGAATGATTAATAGTTTTCTCTGATTTGCTTTGTTGTCCAATTGATTTCTAAACCATGTAACCAAAACCTTCCAATTGCTAAAGGACAAAAAGGGGCATGCACAAAGCCTACCTCAAAAGCTGAATATTTTCAGAAATTATGAACAGTTCCATAGTTTCATTATCTCAAAAGACTTAGGGAGCTAACACGAACCTGTCTTTTCCTTTCATCTAATTTTACCCCACCATCAATTCTGCAAACTTCAAATCCCTTTTCACTAAAATAGTAATCCATTATATCCAACACCTTGGTCCATTGGGAAAAAATCAGAACCTGTTTATAAATATAATGCTGTAAGCAGCCAATTCTTATGCCACAGGAAAGAAAGACAATTTAACAATTTGTACAACATACTTTGTGCTTGCGCTCAAACAACTTAATCAGCAGTCTGTCAAGCAAGCGAAATTTACCACACTGTTCAACTATTTGCTCAACTGGTGGATAGAATGCTGCCAAGTAAGAACATATAATGGCTCAGTAGAAACATTAGAAGCACACATTCACTAAGCAATTTACCAAATGCATGAGATACTTGAGCTGTCAAAAGCTGACTCCAAAAGATCCGGATGGTTGCAATTCTTCCTAAGTTGTATCATTAGGTTGTTAAGTGTTCCTTTCATACAATATCCTGCAGGAAATATGAAATTAGAACAAATGACTGAAGAATATAATGCACAGGAAAAATAACAGAAAAAATTGAAATCTATATAGCTTCTCCTAAATTCACGTGGTGATAAAATTACACTCCATCTCAAATTACAGCCAGAAAGATGAGGTAAAGCATGGAAAGAATGAGTCCATTTCTATTTACACCTGTAAAAAGATATTGGAGAATAGGCTACCTACTTTACGTCTTCTCGCAGCTCAAGAGAGTTATAGTGAATAAATACCTATTGAAAGATTCTCTACCAAATACTTTTCCAATGTCTTATTGACTAAATGATCCACAGTTCAAGAGAGTTGTAGTGAATAAATACCTACTGAAACATTCTCTACCAAATACTTTTCCAATGTCTTATTGACTAAATGATCCTGGAAGTTTTTCTGATGATCGGTCAAAGTAGCATATAAGATAATCTCCTTTTTTCCAGGTAGCATCTGCTCAACATCTGTCTTCAATCTTCGTAGGAGAAATGGACGCAATATAGCATGAAGTTTAGCTACCACCTGAAGAAACCCAATTATCAGTTAATGCCACAAAAAGAAAAGAATCCAACAAACACAGGCTCGTAACTATTCATGCATACTTGAGCCCTTCTCTTTTCTTCCATTTCTTCCTTTATTGCTTCATTAGCATATTTTCCAGACAGGTCAAACCTGAATATAAAATAATGTTATTCACTGAAAACTTCAAAGAGTGGATGGGATAAGTCTAGATAGACTTATTACAAGTTCAATCACTGAATTTAATAGAAAATGTCCAGCTGGGAGAACATTAGAGCAATAGTGCAAACATTCAGGTATAAATAAAAGGGAAATGACAGAGCACACAGACCATGATTCAAATTCTTCATGAGATGCAAAAATATCAGGCAACAGAAAATTCAACAATGACCAAAGCTCTGCCAGATTGTTTTGCAAAGGTGTCCCTGTCAATAAAAGCTTGTTTTCCATACGTAGATATTTTAGTTCTCTCAGCAGTTTGCATTTGGAGTTCTTCAACCTGTGACCCTTCAGGGAGAAAAAAAAAATCACAATTAAGATAGTACACGCATAAGAAAACATTGCAAAACATAACCATCCTTTACCACAACTAACTTGAAGGAACTGAAAAGTAGCTTATCCGAACATTCACCTCGTCAACCACAACATATTTCCAGGTGTAATGCTGCAAAAATTTTCTGGCATCATTCATGGCAACCTCGTAAGAAGTAATAATTATGGGGAACTTGGGACCAATGGTTTTGGGCATATGCTTCCTTCTTATCTCATCCCTCTCTTTCTTGTTTCCATGATAGATAATAGCATTCATAGAGGGAACAAACCTATTTAAATAAAGAAGGGGTATTAAATTGCAGGGAAAGGTTGATTCGTGCATATACCTGAATATTAAAAGTATAGATTTACCTTGAAATCTCGTTTACCCAATTTGAGAGTGTAGACAGAGGAGCAATAACTAGATAAGGACCATCCATCCCATTCCCTTTTAAATGTGCAAGGAAGCCAATTGTTTGAATTGTCTTTCCAAGACCCATTTGGTCTGCTAGGATTCCGTTAAGACCATTTTGCCATAATGATATTAACCACTTCACGCCTTTGAGTTGATAAGACTTCAACTTTCCTCCAGTCAACAGGGGCACAAGTTCCATCTGCTCCTTCTCAATTTTTTCTTCCTCTGTCAGGCTCACATCATCAGTTTTTTCACCTTCCTTGGATCTTGTAATCATTGCTTCAACTGCCCTCCTGGCCTTCCTCTGAAACATCATTATAAAAATGATCAGAGATCATACAAATGATTAAAATCCTAATGCTATAATTAACCATAATTTAGTTACAGAAAAAAGAAAAATCCTCTAAGATGCAGACTTATTGAGAGCTCAAGGTTACACACTTCACACAAAGGCAATCCACAAAAAATCATGATAAGTTCACAAATGTAGAAGTGGGAAAGAAAAACTACAACACAGAAAGTAGACAATCAAAGTAGATAATATCCTTCAAATAGTCAGATGACAACCAACAATGAGAATCAACAATAACTAACACAATTACCAGATCTAAAGTCTTTTCAAAAAATAAAAATAATTACAATGTCAATTGTGGTGATAGAACCACTCAAGATATTACATTATTGTATGTGACAGTTGCTTTTCTTTTTGATCCCCGGCCACGGCCTCTCTTTGTCTCCACAGTTTGGTTATTTTGCTCAACTCCGTTCTGGCAGTGCACAAATATATAGAATAAATAAATCAAAGATAAAAGAGTACGTATATATATACACACATGATTATTAGAAACATTAAGGTTTGTCAGAAACTACAATTGTGATGTCCTCCATTTTTTCCAGCAAAAATTCAGAATACATCTGCGTCTGTGTTAACAGCTCATCCAATCTGGTGTATTGGATGTCGTCCAAGTGAGGAACCTCCTCCGGTTTCTTCTCTTCATCTACCTTTTCTTCTTCCTCCCGAACTTTGAGAAGCTTTTCCTCCTCTTCGGCCATGGCTTCTGATATAAGTGAAGAATCTCCAATTTTGGCATCCAGAAGGATTTCTTCCTTCACATCAAAAGGACATCCAATTAATACGACAAATGAGATGCTTCCAAGAAAAAAAATACTATTTCTTAGCCAAAAAAAATAGCCAATTATTTAACGCTCCACATAAAATAAACCATCAAGCAAGTGTAAGCACGTATGAATCGTGTGCGCACCCACAGAAAGACTGTAACTCCAGCAACCAAAGAAGAACATGGAACATGCGCGATGTTGTAATAAAATGCACAAACACTCAACTGGAACTTCTATAAGCAACAGCGAACAAGAGAGATAAATAACGGAATATGAACGAAAATAACAAAAACAAAATGCATTCACATTGATATTAAAACAGATAACGTGCGAGTATTCACCGAGTTCTCGGACTCGAGGAGGACACACAATAGATTCATTAAATAATAAAATATACTACAATAAAGCTGGACACCTGAAAACGGAAGCATTCAAAGAAATATTTTCTCTTTTTTCTTCCCTTATTACAAATTTCTAAACCAATTTTCAAACGGTTTCCTTCCATTTCTCTTATTCTTCCAGTTCCAGGAACCAACCACACAGAAGCGAAAGAACATTTTCAAAACAACACCAACGAAATCAACCTCATCTTCGAGGACCGAAGTCGGGGACTCTGCGGAGACATCGTTCTTCGCCGTGTCGTCAACGCCCATGTCCAAGTCGCAGTTAATCCTATAACAACGAATCGAAACAACATTACATTAAATAAAAATAAAAATAAAAAGTCAAACGCAAACTAAGGTAAATAAAACTGAGATTTTCCAAAGCGAATTCTAGGGTTTCGATCTCGACACCGTAGATATGCGAGTTCGGAAAACCTAACAAGAATTCAAAAAGGGGACGACAAAGGAAGTAAATGAACGGTGTCATCGAAGCAGAAATCATACGTACGGTAGAAAAGAAAGTTATCAACAAATGAATAAAATAACAAATATATGAACCGCCGTTGACACTGCAGAGAAAATACCGCCGGAGATTGAACTGAGACAGAGCACGAATGGTGAATTGGACCTAAAAAGTACCTTTTGAGTTTTCGATATTTATTAATTAATGGGGCTGGTCGGGGAGTTTAGGCGGGAAAACGACTCTGTAAATTTGCCCCTGGAAGATGCTTTTATTTACGATATGGATCAGCCTTAGGGTTCTGGGAGTTGAGATCTCAGAAACATGCTTTGTCTGATTCTTTCAACAGTGCAGCATGCTTAATAAATATAATAGTTATGGTGCGTATTAAAATAAAGTACAGAGGAATGTCTCTTCTACATAAATTAATATATTAAATAAATTAACAAGTTAAATTTAATGTTTCAAAATTTTTTCTTCTTTTAATTATTTTTTAAAAGGAATATAATTATAATTATTCACTAAACAAGTGATTAGAGATGAAGTTCAATAAAATAATACAAATCATTAACTCTGCTAAATAATCTTAATTATTTTTAGTATTTTTGCAGTTTTATTTAAGCTTTACTTGTTTATTTCAACAATTAAAAAAAATTGTAATGAATTATTGTATTATTCCGTACTATTTTAGTTTATTTTAAAAATAAAATTATAAAATTTGTTTTGTAACATGTTAAGTAACAAATTTTGTATTACTCTAACATTATGTTTCAATAAATTTTAGTGACGAATAATTAATGTATGATAATGATAATGATCGAACGATAATAATATAAAATGAGAATAATAATTTTTTTATATTTAAATTATTATGTATTAATATATGTTAACGACAGTTGTTTTATTTAAATGATATGATGAATTATTGTATTATCCATTGCTATTTTAGTTTATTTTAAAAATAAAATTATAAAATTTGTTTGGTAACATGTTATGTAACAAATTTTGTATTACCCTAACATTCTGTTTCGATAAATTTTAGTGACGAATAATTAATGTATGACAATGACAGTGATCGAACGACAATAATATAAAATGAGAATGATAAAATTTTTTCATATTTAAATAATTGTGTATTAATGTATGTTAACGACAGTTATTTTATTTAAATGACATAATGAATTATTGTATTATCCCTTGCTATTTTAGTTTATTTTAAAAATAAAATTACAAAATTTGTTTGATAACATGTTAAGTAACAAATTTTGTATTACCCTAATATTCTGTTTCGATAAATTTTAGTGACAAATAATTAATGTACGACAATAACATAAAATGAGAATGATAAAATTTTTTTATATTTAAATGATTGTGTATTAATGTATGTTAATTTGAATGATATGATGAATTATTGTATTATCCCTTGCTATTTTAGTTTATTTTAAAAATAAAATTACAAATTTTGTTTGGTAACATATTAAGTAACAAATTTTGTATTACCTTAACATTTTGTTTCGATAAATTTTAGTGATGAATAATTAATGTATGACAATAACAGTAATTGAACGATAATAATATAAAATGAGAATGATAAAAATTTTTTATATTTAAATGATTGTGTATTAATGTATTTAAACGATAGTTGTTTTATTTGAATGATTTGATTATATTTTCAGTCAAATTATTAATTTATTTATGTTTTATTATATGTATTAATAAATAGTGTATAAAAAATTTATAATTTTAAAAAATTATATAAAAATATAATTAAATTTATATTTAAATAAATAATTATTTTATATAATTAAATTAATTTTGTATATTTAATAAAATAAATAATTATTACTTATATAAAAATAAAATTTTTGTTTACAAAAGTATATCGAAAATTAAACATATTTTTATGATGGTATTATGAGAAAAAAATTATCAAATTGTCAAATAGCACTAATTCAGTAATTTTTAAAATTCATCTCAAATTTATTTAGATATCATAAGATTGGAAGTGAAATACCATATATTAATTAATTACTATTTATACAGAAATATTTCATTATTTAAAATTTCTCAGTTTGCTTAAATTATGTTGATTGAAAAGCAAATTTTCTATACCATCACTCCCTGCTCAAGTTCTTGAACTTTCATATGGAGGTTTTTGGCATTCTCGGCAAGAATCTAGAGCATTGACGTTTTGAAGGGTTAATGCGGTTCGGAGGAGAAGAAGATTTTACTCTTTAGAGGTAACTGATTATCAAGTATTGACGGTGAAGTTTTTCGTGAATAGATGGATATTCTCGTTGACTTACAATTCAACGAACTTGCACATTCTCTATAAAATCATCAAATGCATGTATGTTAGGGTTAGCACGTTAGATTTCGATTGCTATATGTTGGTTTTAGATCGGCGAGGTGTTTGATTCTTAGGATTAATAGTTATTCTCTCGAAGGAAAGCACACTCAAGCCCTTCTTATTTCGGCTCCCACATTCAAGCTCTTCTCTCGCGGCAATGTGTTAGGATTAATAGTTATTCTGTCCTGATGGATTTCCTCCCAAAAGTCACATACAGTAGAACCGGTTTTCTGATTCAATGCAACTGAAAGTAGAATAGAAGGAACATAGAGCTCCGAGTTTTTGAAATATCTTCTATTATTCGACCGAATAATTTTCTTACATAATTAATCATGGAGAAAATGACACAAAACAAAAACAACTTTTTGAATCTTTGCTGAAGAAGCTTCAGCATGGAGAAATACAATAATTTAATGCCCAAAAACTTATGTAACCCACGACATTCAGTTGAAAATGATCAACGAATAGGTCTTTCGCAGCTGAATGTAGCGCACATGGTAGCTCTGGCAAGAAATTGCAAGACAATGCCATGCCCAACATTGTTAAGACCGGATGCAGAGGTTTTCGAATCCCATGTACTCTTCATTCATCAGCTTCTCCACCATGTCAGCTATACCCACTCCACCTGCAACATACAGAAAAATAGTTTAGCATATTCTACTGTCTTCTGAAAATTTGAACATTTTATCTGAATCAGAAAGCAAGAGAGCCCCGCACCTAAACTGATAGCACTAACAAAGATGGTCAAAGCCAGTATGAAAATGATAATTGATGTCCTTCCGATGATTGCAATAATTTTTCTGATGATATGCTGACCGGTGAAGGCAGCAATGGTGGCTATTAAGGTGAAATAGGTAGCTGCAGTAAAATGTAGAAATTAGGATTGCAAGTCTGACTAGTGGCAGACTATAATCAAAGTGTCACTGGTACCTACCATATGAGACTGGAAAACGATTGAGGAGGTAGTATTGTACAACTGACATTGAAGCTGAGAATGCCATTGAAAAAGTTGATGTTGCACTGGCTACCTGTGAGAGCATGTAAATTTTATAAAGTGGATTTTGTTTCAGTTGGTATCGAAACGTTAAATGCTGTATGGGCCTAGGTGTATTGGTACTTCATATGTCATGGCCTATTTTCATGCGCTCAACTAATCTCTTTTTGGTTTCTTCTGCTTTTGTACTAGGATTGAATTGGATTTAGAGAGTGAGTCACTTCAATTTATTCCTAATTGCCTCATGTTGAGCTTCCATGTGATAACTTGGTAGGTTTTGGAGCAGGAAAACATTTTTAATATCCTCCACGAATCACTTACGAAAAATTACTGAGGAATATTTCTATCGGATGGCCTTGTCTCATATTGGCATTTGTTTTTCTATTGGTGATCTCTGTTCTAACTATCATAACATATGTCTTGATGTGAAAAGATTTTCTAGTCAGCGGTACTATATTACTTTCAATTCAGAAATTAGTTTATTATCTTTGTGAAACTAAATGCACTGCGGTGAAAATAAACACTTCGTAGTCTCTGATTTTCCTGAGAGGCCGAAAAACTAACAGATGCTTGAATAATTTTTTCAACTATACCTGAGGAGGTATCCCTAATTCGAGAAAAAGAGGTCCTAGGATGAAGCCGCCGCCTAGTCCAAGCAGTCCACCAACCATACCAGCTACTATTCCACAACAACAGTAGAGGAAAATCATATGCATCTTCCAATTTGTAATTTCCTTTCCCCTGGATGCTATCACTTTCGTCCCCTTGCATAAGCTTATGGCTTCAAAGATTGTAACAGATGCTGCAATTGGTACCTGTACAATGAAATTATCAGATACGCCAATTTCATTCTTTTGGGAAATGGTGAAACTGAAAACATTTTTCAATACCACCATTGGAAGTATGTAAGCTCTATAAGCAGAAGGTAGCCATGTTAATGTTATAGATAATGGAGTACCTGCACATGCTGGCTATGCACGACATTATTGCCAGTTGAGAATTTTAAAGGCTTATGTCTTTGTTGGTTGCTTTGGCTAGATTACTATTTGTTGCTGATTGGAGTTTATACCCTTTATAGATTTACCCAAACTAATCTCTCTTTCTATTTTGATTACCTGTGAGCAAAAGCAATACTAGCAAACTAGCAGTAGCTAAAATTTATTTTAGAAAAATCTTATCAGTTAAGCACCCTTGGATTGATTAATGGTGGCGGATTAACAATATATAGTATGATTATTGCGTGAGTGTCTAACAAAGAAATGGAAATGAAAACCTTCTGCTAAAAACAACCTCTTAGAACCCCCCTAAGAAATGAAACTATCTGCTGGTTTCTGTGGTTTAGCAAATTCGTCTCTTATCAATTAATTTTATCTCCGCTGCTTCCTGCCAATACTTACAGGAGAATGCTTTGTGTATAAACATACATGTAAATCTTTCGTAGGATGCAGTGTTCATTTTGTTGCTGGCAGAATCAATTTTCTCCTAACTAATCTGGATTTAATAAATTTGGAAGTCATCTGACTTAGAAATTTTGACTAGGTTTTTTCATACTTTTTTTTCATTGTGATTATTATAAAGTAATCATGAGAAAGAAATATTTGTAGTTGAACTTTCTGATTCTACCTGCAAGGAGCTTAAAATCCAGTATGTGACGGAGCAGGTCTCAACATATTCCTGCATTGAGGTTGCAATAGATTGTCTTAGTAAACGATGAAGCAACTTCGTGCTCATTATCAAACTGAAAATAGGATGGAGATTTCTGCCTACTTTTATGCCAGGTAAAAGTAGCAAAGGATAACAATTTACTTTATCACTGTTATTTCAGATAGTCTTAAGGAATTTGCAGGTTAGATATTGCTGTTGTTACTTTTGGTGGGAGACCTATGGAGTGTATTAGCTTACCTTAAGAATTTGAACAACAAGAAATCCCAACCAAACATAAATGAGCAATGCCAACTCTTTCCAGTAAATGTTTTGTAGCAATGGAACCTGGAAAAATGATGATGGTGGGTACTAAATCAATAGCAGAAACAAGAAAACAATATTTGGGTGATTAATTATTGAAAGAGGAACAATGGAGAAACCAGCAAATTCTTGGACTGACCTCATCATCTGGAATTGAAGCAGGACCACTTGGTAGAGGTTTATAATCATGTGCAGCTCCATCTGCAGTTCAGGATGTTAAAACCATCAGTCTTTAATGCATAAAATTATTAGAATAAAAGTTCAAAAAGAGGTCTCATAACTTTTCATTTCCCCGACTGTTCGGGAGCATAGCTCTAGTTGAATAATGAAATTGTTGGCACTAGCTTATCATTTTATTTAATATGATTTACATGCATCAAAGCTGATCAAGTTGTTGTTTCATTGATCAATCTATAGAAAGATGCTTGTAAAATATTTATTTTCATTAATTTTTGGGATTGTTAAAATATCTTTCTACCACAGCCTTACTCCTGTATATGATGTTGTTCCACTAACTCCTTTCTAAATGGTATCTAATCAATTGGTTTAGTTGACAAATGTTAAAAAATGTATTTCAATTCCCTATTGGATATTTCAGGTGATATTCTAGTCTCACGTGACCGAATTAAAAGATTTAAGAAAGCTACTCTCTCTTCATGAGCATAAATCTTAGATGTAGGAAAGATTAATTTACTAGAAATATAGAAGGCAGGCCTAAATCACAAATTTATTTGCCTTCCAGTTATTTATTTCCTGCTATTAAATTATAGTAGCTGTTTTTTTGCTAAGCCTATTATATTCTCGTGCTATTCCTAAAATTTTAAATGTCTGATACGCAAAATCCACTTATAGTTTACACTTTTTATGCATTGTTAAACTAATTCTATTCATATTTCAATTCTAGAATGATGTATATTGAATATTGAATTGACTTAGAATTAGATTACTATTTTCTCTAAAATCTTTGTCCCATTTATATTTTGTTCTCATTCACATTCTGTATATTTAAATTTTGAATCAAATTCAACTTAAATCTTTTTGCTATAAAATGACTTCATTTGCCTTGGAGATTACAATCAGATACTCACCACCTGGTTTTGGCTCTGATTCCATCTGCCTCTTTGCTTCCTGGAGTTCAAGAAGGATGTCATTAGTAAGTCAAACAACAAAGAAAAGATATGAAATCTGAAAGAAGTGGTAAGTTCTACCTTCTTCATTATTGTCTCTTTCTTCCATGTATCTACTCCTTTGAACAAAGCTTTAGTTGATGTTCCTGCCAGCAGAAATTTTGCATATTATGCATATATGTATCTGTCTATCAATGTATATATTTATATATTCATGCTAGTATGACTACATGTAGCATTCATGCATGTCTTGGTAGTTTTCTTAAGAAGTGATGTCACTACTTTTCCCTTTTTAATTTTCTTTCTAGATTACACTTAATCTATCCCCACAAGATCCAAAGTCTTGCTCATAAGCTGTTTTAGAGTAGCAAACCGCTACTTGTTTATCACTTCAGCATGAAGAAAGAAATATGAAATCCTTGGTTGGAAGCCTATACTAGCATGAAAATTCTGGTTATTACCAATGAAGAGGATAATAAGAAGAACTGTGACCATCCAGTCAGCAAATATAATATTGAAGGCAACTCCTATGCTGATTCCTAACATGAGCATGGGTTGGAAGAGCAATGCCAGGTCATAATCAATGAGGGGCATGTCTAATGTTGGGTGCCTAAGTCTCAGGTTGTAGTATACTGTTGATCCTGCAGCACCCATGATCATACCTGCAGCCATAAGATAATAAATTACTTCAGTTTTATGTTTACTAATTAATAAAATATTAAAAGATTTTAGAAATTTCAGATATATCTATGTGCATCAGGCTAAATGCATCAAGCTCTAATAAATTAAAGATTGTGCTTGGCCAAACTACCCCCTCATGTATGTTTGAAGTATGTTTCTACTTTCTCCCTAATGAAGGATAAGAAAATTAATTCATGCTGGGGAGAGGGCTTACATTCTAGTAGAAAGCTAGCGTTTCTATGATGTAGTTAATTTAGAAAAATGCCCTTTTAACTGTTTATGTTCATTAAAAAAGTATCCGCTGATATGCTTAAAGTTATAAGAAGAAGGTATAGTACTGACATTTAGAAATGGCTGTAGAAGACTTGGGGTC